TCACTGGAAGCTTTCAAGAAGAGACTGAACTGCCATCTGTCAGAAATGGTGTAGGGTCTCCTGCTTGGGCAGGCGGGTTGGACTAGATGACCTACATGGTCCCATTCTATTCTATTCTATTCTATTCTATATTCCAATATCTATTTTACTCTACTCTACTCTACTCTACACTATTCTATCTTATTCTATATTCTCTTTTACTCTATTCTATTCTATTCATTATTCTACCTTACTCTATATTTTATTCTATATTCTATTCTATTATTATTCTATTCTACTCTACTCTATCTTATTCTATATTCTATTCTGTTCTGTTCTATTCTATATTCCAATATCTATTCTATTCTACTCTACTCTACTCTACTCTACTCTACTCTATTCTATCTTATTCTATATTCTCTTCACTCTACTCTATTCTATTCTATTCATTATTCTATTCTATTCATTATTCTATTTACTCTACTCTATTTTATTCTATATTCTATTCTATTCTATTCTATTCTATATTCCAATATCTATTCTATTCTATTCTACTCTACTCTACTCTACTCTATCTTATCCTATATTCTCTTCTACTCTACTCTATTCTATTCAATTCATTATTCTATTCTATTCCATTCTACTATTCATTATTGTATTCTACTCTACTCTGTCTTATTCTATATTCTATTCTGTTCTGTTCTATTCTATTCTATTCTATTCTATTCTATCTTATTCTATATTCTATTCTACTCTACTCTCTACTGTACCTTACACTCTACTCTACTCTACTCTGCTCTACTCTGTTAAGGTTGCAAAAGAAAAGCAAATCTAATTGCTCAGATCTTTGAGCCTGCACGGTCAAGGACCAGGGTCACCTGACTCATTGTAATTGTATTGGCTCAAGTGAGGTTGCTTTATTATATCTTGTTGCCCTACAATTGTCTTTTGTTACTCTGTTCAGCTAGTTCTAATCCTGGGCACTCCAGTTGAATGACAGCCTAATCATCTCTTCCATTGAGGGAACTCTCAGTGCAGCTCCTCAGATCCTATTTTGTAGTTAATTGTGTGGATAGAACTGTTTGTGCTTTGAATCTGCATTGTTTTGATAAGGCTTCTACTTTCACCCACTTTCCTGTTTATAGACGCAAAATGGGAGTCCTGAGAGAAATAGTTTGTATTACCTACACGGCTGCAGAATTGCAACAGCAGTTTCTCCCAAAGTTCACATCAACTATTGCCCAAATTATATTTATGGAGTTCCCAATAAACCTACGTCCCTTTCAGAGGAAGGGACAGATAAATCATTCTTTACTTGCTGATTCATTTTGATGGGAAAGGCTGAGGGAAGGGTATTTAAAATTTTGAAGAGGGGGATGTGAAAAAGTTCTTAGAGCAGTGGTTCTCAACCTTTTTAATGCCGTGACCCCCAACCGGTCGTAAGTCGAGGTCTACCCAACCGGTCGTAAGTCGAGGACTTTCCCTGCCCGGGAACGGCGTGCATGTGTGGTGCCGCCCCCTGTGCCAGCCGAGGCATAGCTGGCAAGCGGCAGAGATGGAGCAGGCCGACCACCGGCTGGGCCACCAGCTGGCCCAGCCCAAGGGAGGTAAGGCACCCGCCGGGCCCCATGCGTGCCAGCAACCCTCCCTGCGCCCGCCGGCCTCCCACCTCCCACCCCTGGCCCTCTTTTACTTACATTTTTAGTAGTTGTTCAGCAGGGAGGGGTGAAAGCTTCCAGACAGCTCGCCTTCACTGCAGACAACTTGCAGCACCGTTTGCAGACTGGGACTTTTGGCGGGCTCAGCAGGGCAGAGACAGCCTGGACAATTCCTATTGGCTTTTGAAAGCCAAGAGAATTAGACTCTATTCAAGAGAGTCTATTCTATTGGCTTTCAAAAGCCAATAGAATAAAAGGGAGTAGCACAGCTAAGGAAAAGGGGGGGAAAATGGCGGCCTGCGTTGTTTGGCGACCCCTGTGAAATGGTTGTTCGACTCCAAATGGGGTCCCGACCCACAGGTTGAGAACCGCTGTCTTAGAGTGATGTGGAAGCATAGGTCATGGGGAATTATCAAATAAGATGAACATTGTTTTCTCTCCCATCCAAAGGTTTACGGATTTTTGCAAAACACAGACATGACAGAAGAAGCCAATAGATTTGCATTGTCGCCCCGATCAAATCCTTCTTAAAGTCTATTGCAGGGGTGTCAAACTCAACTTCACTGAGGGCCGCATCAGCATTGCGGTTGCCCTTGGGGGGCCAAGTGGGTGCGGCCTACTGGGTGGGCGTGGATGGAGTGGGTGTGGCCTACTGGATGGGCGTGGCCAGCTCTACATCATTCGCGCCAAGGGTGCCTGTGGGGGCCTGGGCAAGAGTGGGACAGATCTGAGGGTCTCTGGCAGAAGGGGGTGGGACCAGGGCAAGTGCCAAGATGGCCACCACAAAATTGTACATTGGCTCCCGGCCGGCCTGGGCCAGGGTCAAGGCAGCGGAGGCCGTTCCCTCACTGTTTCCAGGAAGGCTTCGTGGGCCACATGAAACTACTTCGCGGGCCGCATCCGGCCCCCCGGGCCTTGTGTTTGACATGTCTGGTCTATAGTATACACCCTGTTCTATTATGCATCTCTCAGTAAAACAAAGCTGTCAGAATATGTTGAAAATTAATTAATTTACAATATTATCCCCAGGGTATTTCCAGAAAGAATAATATTTCCTGCCTTCTTACTTCCTATTTTAAAATAATCCATCACATTTGATTATGAACAAATGAACCCGTGATTGTATTAAATTCTGCTATGTGTGTATTAGGAGGAATGATGACGTGAGAGATTAATTGAAGACTGTTGGAGAAATAATTAAAAGCTGAACATTATTGTAAAGAAAGTTAGTTTAGACTACAGACAGATAGATAGATAGATAGATAGATAGATAGATAGATAGATAGATAGATAGATAGAGACATAGAGACAAAGAAGATAGATAGACAGACAGAAGATGATACATGACGATGGATGGATGGACGGACGGACGGACAGATAGCTAGATGATAGTTGCTTTCCATGTCATGGGTGGCTATATAAATTTGATAGATAGAAGACAGACAGACAGACGGTAGATAGACAGACAGACAGACAGACAGACAAATGGTAGATAATGATAGATAGCTAGATAGATAGATAGATAGACAGACAGACAGATGATAGATAGATGTGATTAGATAGAATTAGATTAGATAAATAGACAGACAGATATAGATAGATATATGTTAGAAGATAGATAGACAGTGATGATTAGAGTGAATAGATAAATGGCTAGATAGATAGATAGATAGATAGATAGATAGATATGATTAGATAGAATTAGATTAGATAAATAGACAGATATAAATAGATATATGTTAGAAGATAGATAGACAGTGATGATTAGATTGAATAGATAGATAGATAGATAGATAGATAGATAGATAGATAGATAGACAGACAGACAGACAGACAGACAGACAGACATGAATGATAGGTAGACAGAGAAATGATACATAATGATAGATGATGATAGATGATATATATAGAAAAACTGTTCCTAAATATTTGTCAAACAAGCAAATGCAGACATTTTTGTAACCTCTACAGAGGTCCATCATTTGAAAGCCTTTTGAGAGAATACTTCTACTTTTTAAAAAGTACTTTCAAAAAATTGAACTGCTCAAAGTTCAACTACACGTTGGCTAATTGAACCGCAAACTGTATTCTGAAAATGAGGTAATTCTTCCTGTTTCGTTGTTAGGTCATTGTTCTTTCCTCTGACTAATTCTACAGAAATATGTCTGTTCTCCATTAAATGTCCTTATTAGGTTTCTGTCTCAAATATTATTATTTGCTTCTCCTTCCCCCCCCCCCCAAAGTTGATAAAGATGCAGGCAAAGATCAGATTTTTTCCCCTCCAGAAAAAGTTATTTTGCTAGCTTCTTCTCTTTTTAGTCCTTGACATACAACCACAGCTGAGCTCAAAATTTCCATTGCTAAGCAAGACAGCTGTTAAGTGAAGTTGGCTCCATTTTACAACTGACTCATATTTATGACGGTTGCAATGTCCTGGGGCCATGTTAGAATAGAATAGAATAGAATAGAATAGAATAGAATAGAATAGAATAGAATAGAATAGAATAGAATAGAATAGAATAGAAATTGATTGATCGAGGAATAGAATAGAGTAGAGTAAAATAGAATAGAAGAAATTGGTTGAAGAATTAGAATAGAATAGAATAGAATAGGAGAAATTGATTGAAAAATATAGAATAGAGTAGAATAGAACAGAATAGAATAGAATAGAATAGGAGAAATTGATTGATTGAAGAATAGAATAGAATAGAATAGAATAGAATAGAATAGGAGAAATTGATTGATTGAAGAATAGAATAGAATAGAATAGAATAGAACAGAACAGAATAGAATAGAATAGAATAGAATAGAATAGAATAGAATAGAATAGAATAGAATAGAATAGGAGAAATTGATTGATTGAAGAATAGAATAGAATAGAATAGAACAGAACAGAACAGAACAGAACAGAACAGAACAGAATAGAATAGAATAGAATAGAATAGAATAGAATAGAGCTGGAAGTTGGAAGGGACCTTGGAGGTCTTCTAGTCCAGCCTCCCGCTTAAGCAGGAGAACCTACACAGTCTCAGACAGGTGAGTGGCCCTCGGATAAGCCAAGTCCTCACTTAATAACCGTGTTGCTAACTGAAAAGCTGCAGGGATTTCACTTAAGAACTGTGGCAAGAAAGATCGTAACATGGAGGAAAATTCCCTTAACAACCCTCCTTCTTAGCAACAGAAACTTTGAGCTCGGCTGTGGTCATAAATTGAGGAACTTTTCCAAGAGACAAAAGTCAATTTGGACACTCTCCCCTTCTCGCTTTCTGCCAGCGTTTTTGTTCCTCTTTTCCTCCTCTTTTACAAGAAATATATATATATATTATGTCGATTTTATAATATGCGTATCTATCTACCTTGCAGGTGCCTGAGATTATAAGCACCATCCGACAAGCCGGGAAGATCGCACGCCAGGAAGAGCTTCAGAACCAACTTTCCGATGTCCAGGATCATTTTAGCAAGAAGTTTGAGGTGCTGTTTTGCGGCCGGGTGACCGTAGCCCACAAAAACGCGCCTCCAGCCCTGATAGACGAGTGCATCGAGAAATTTAACGATGTGAGTTATACCCAAAAACTGGACGCGCCTCATCAAAACGACACCGCCGATCACTCCTCGAGTGGATTTTTCATAAGTGACAAATTCCGCTCGGTTTTGCAGCCTCTGGTGAGCGAGGAACAGGGCGCTCAGCCTATGAGGAAATCTTACTCTCAGCCTGGACTCCGTTCTTTTGCTTTTAAAAGGGACTTGCAGACCTGGAGCCGGAAGAGTAACAGCCTGGCCAGATCCTTGGATGATGACGAGGTCCTAACGCTGAACTTAAAAAGTCAATTCATCCAGGGGCAAAACGTACAGCCGACGGATATCGCCGGGAACCGGATTATGTTGTTCATGGTAAAAAGCCTGGTTTTGTTTGCTTGGCCTTCCTGATCCTCCGTTGTGTTGCTAATCGTTGAAGTACTGCAGTTACTTGGCAATGAAGGAATTTTGGTTTCGGTTTAGAATCAAATCGGCCCACCTCTTGGGATCCTTGAAGCCAAATTCAGCTCACCATCAGCTGGGATGGTGGCCTCTAACTTTAGGCTAGGCTAGGCTAGGCTAGGATAGGATGGAATGGAATGGAATAAATATTGGAAAATAGAATAGAGATTGGATTGGAATAGAATAGAATAGAATAGAATAGAATAGAATAGAATAGAATAGAATAGAATAGAATAGAATAGAATAATGGAATGGAATGGAATGGAATGGAATGGAATAGAATAGATATTGGAAAATAGAATAGAATAAATGGAATGGATTAGAATAGAATAGAATAGAATAGAATAGAATAGAATAGAATAGAATAATGGAATGGAATGGAATGGAATAGAATAGAATGGAATGGAATACATATTGGAAAATAGAATAGAAGAGATATTGGAATAGAATGGAATGGAATAGATATTGGAAAATAGAATAGAATAAATGGAATGGAATGGAATAGAATAGAATAGAATAGAAAATAGAATAGAATAGAATAGAAAATAGAATAGGATAGAATAGAATAGAATAGAATAGAATAGAATAGAATAGAATAGAATAGAATAGAAAATAGAATAGGATAGAATAGAATAGAATAGAAAATAGAATAGAATAGAATAGAATAGAAAATAGAATAGAATAGAATAGAATAGAAAATAGAAATTTTTCTCGGGACATTTTTTCCCAGCCTAAGCTAAGTGACTGTTTCTGAGGTAAATTATTAGCTGATTCACCTACTGCCCTCTCTTCCATTGATTTCCTAGGACAAGGGCCCTCTCTAGCAGATGAAATGTGGGTGATGCTCACCTTAAGTATGAAGCTTCTTTCAAGGCGGCTGGGTAACCCCACGGCTTCCTGGAATGGGTGTAGCATTTCTTTTAGTTTAAGGAAATGGGTTATGGTGTAATAAAAAAAAAAGCGTCTGACCTTACACTTCCTTCTTTATTGAGCAACTGGCAACTGTCCCTACTTATGAGGAATTAAGCTTAGGTCAAATAAGGAGGCCCTGATTTTAGAAGATTAGATTAGAATAGATTAGAGCAGGGGTTGGTAACCTTAAACACTCAAAGAGCCCCTTGGACCCATTTCCCAGAGAAAAGAAAATACTGGGAGCCGCAAAACTTGCGCACGCGCATGCACACACAAGGAGGGGGGATCTTGATTGAAGAATTTAATTAAAAAGAAATAGAGGCTGCTATGCATGAGCGCTCTCTCTCTCCCTCTCTTTGTCTCTCTCCCTCTCTGTCTCTCCTCCCCCCCCAATCCCTCTCCCCGATCTTCTGCTCACCTGGCAAGATGGTTTCAGGTGGTTCTTGGACAAGCTGACAAACATTCTTATTGGGCTGGCTCTCTCCTGCCCTTGGTGTGCCAGTCCTCTTCCCCCACTCAGTTTGTGTGTGTGTGTGTGAGTGTGAGAAAGAGAGAGGGGGGGCTGCTGCTTCCTGGTTCCTGGTTCGACGCAGCAAAGGCAGGAGCCCTGCCCAATAAGCTTGTCAGCTTGTCTGAAAACAGCGTGAGACCACTCTATTTTACACACAGGGAGAGAGAGAGAGAGAGAGAGAGAGAGAGAGAGAGAGAGAGAGATAGAAGGGAAGCGCAAGTGCCTCTCTCTCTCTCTCTGCAAATGGCGGAGGAGGCTGGGAGCCGCAGGAGAAGGCTCAAAGAGCCACATGCGGTTCCGGAGCTGCGGGTTGCTGACCTATGCCCTATACCATTTCAGACAAATGGCTGTCCAGTTTCTTCTTAAAAACTTCCAGTGTTGGAGCATTCACCGCTTCTGGAGGCAGGCTGTTCCACTGGTTAATTGTTCTCTCTGTCAGGAAGTTTCTCCTTAGTTCGAGGTTGCTTCTCTCCTTGATTAGTTTCCATCCGTTGCTTCTTGTCCTGCCTTCAGGCGCTTTGGAGAATGGCTTGACTCCCTCTTCTTTGGGGCAACCCCTGAGATATTGGAAGGCTGCTATCACGTCACCCCTATTAAACTAGACATACCTAATTCCAGAAAGTTGTTATGAAATGGTTATAGTTTATGATGGTACTCCTACACACAAACCCCCAAGTTGCTTTCTGTTGCTTTGTACCAACCTCTTCTAAGAGTCCATGATGGAAATATGTTGGATAACTAGGATGGAAGAGGACTTTGAGATAGGATCCTATCAAATAAGGCATGCCCCCCAAAAAGGTCCTTATAATCTTGCAATTCACCCAAACCTTTTCATTCCATTATACCATCTCAGTTGCCAAAGCTGTGTTTTAAATTTGGGGAGCTTATCAATGTTGATGCTTTTGTGGTTACCATTTTGTGCGGTATGCTGTGCTTCCATTGTTCTGATTTGTGATGGAACCCATTAAGGAAATGTTACCATATTAAATAAGTAAAACACCAACAGAAGAGAATGTTTATAGCTCAGGGTTGAACTATGGGGTCCTTGGTGCTCTCCGAGCTTCATGGTTTTTTGGGTGGCATTGACGATGTTACCTAGTTTGGCCATGAAACGTCTGCAAGAAAACCACCAAGCTCAGAGAACACTCTACAATAGAAAAAGCAAAGCAAAACCACTTACCAGTTCCATCACATACACACGAAGTATTAATACCACTCTACAATGCCTTGGTAAGGCCACACTTGGAATCCTGCATCCAGTTTTGGTCATCACGATGTGAAAAAGATGTTGAGACTCTAGAAAGAGTACAGAGAAGAGCAACAAAGAGGATTAGGGGACTGGAGGCTAAAACATATAAGGAAAGGCTGCTAGAATTGGGTCTGTCCAGTTTAATGAAGAGAAGGACGAGGGGTGACATGATTGCAGTGTTCCAATATCTCAGGGGCTGCCATAAAGAAGAGCGAATCAAGCTATTCTCCAAAGCACCTGAAGGCAGGACAAGAAGCAACAGATGGAAACTAACCAAGGAGAGAAGCAACCTAGAACTGAGGAAAAACTTCCTGACAGCTAGAACAATTAACCAGTGGAATTACCTGCCTCCAGAAGTGGTGAATGCTCCAACACTGGAAGTTTTTAAGAAGAGACTGGACAGCCATTTGCCTGAAATGGTATAGGGTTTCCTGCCTGAGCAGGGGGTTGGACTAGATGACCTCCAAGGTCCCTTCCAACTTTATTATTATTGTTGTTATTGTTATTATTGTTGTTGTTGTTGTTATTGTTAGTGGTGGTGGTGGTGGTAGTAGTAGTAGTAGTAGTAGTAATAGTAGTAGTAGTAGTAGTAGCAGTAGTAGTAAGCTGTTTGCCTGGGAGAGCAGTCCCAGCATAATGGGCTTTTCAGAGTTTTGCCAGAACTCCGCTCACCGTGCAATTGGCGGCGAGCTTTAACACACCTAACACCGACAAAGAGTTTCCAAGTAAAATTAAGCAGCAGCGAGTGAAACCGGCCCACTAAAAATGCTTTCAACGGATTATGAGGTAACGTCTCACGGTCTGCTTGCTTCAGACCCGTGACATGTACGGTAGCCTGGCAACACGTGGCTCAAACAGTTGCTGTCTCAAAATTGCAGCCTTGAATATATGATCTGTACGGTCATGTATTTCCAACAGGTGTCTGTTTATTTCATTCACTTTACAAGCCCTTTAAAGCAGTTTGTATAAAAGCTAAAAAGGATCCCCTCGGTGTCGTTGCCTTGCCCCAAAGCGAGATGTATGTAAATCAGACTTCTAGCTTGGAAATCCTTCAAACTATTTAAGATTAAGTTTGCTCCGGGAAACCGTGTAAAGAGAAGAAGAAAAAATTGTGGAGGCTGTACTTCTGGGAAATAACTCCATTACAGTTTAGCTTCTTGTGGATCTTGTCATTTCCTTTTACAGCGCATCTGACATCTGGGTGTGTGAATGCTCCCACTTACTGTGGACTAGGGGCCATCAAACATGGAAAGATGTCCAATGCTTCCTTCTTCTTTGAAGTCGATAAAGAATAATTGCCTATGAACTTTATTTATTTGTACCCCATCTTTGTTATTATTGTCACAAATAATATTGGAGGCAGCAAACAGGTCCAACACACCTTCCCTCACAACAACCCTGTGTGGTGGGTTGGGCTGAAAGGCCAACCTAAGGAGCGACTAGAACTCACTGTCTCCTGGTGATTGGCCCATAGTCACCCAGCTGGTGTTCATGCCTAAAGCAGGACTAGAACTCACTGTCTCCTGGTGATTGGCCCAAAGTCATCTAGTGGAGATCATCTAGTCCAACCCCCTGCTCAGGCAGGAAAACCTATACCATTTCAGACAAATGGCTGTCCAGTCTCTTCTTAAAAACTTCCAGTGTTGGAGCATTCACCGCTTCTGGAGGCAGGTTGTTCCACTGATTAATTGTTCTAACTGTCAGGAAGTTTCTCCTTAGTTCTAGGTTGCTTCTCTCCTTGATGAGTTTCCATCCGTGGCTTCTTGTCCTGCCTTCTGGGGCTTTGGAGAATAGCTTGACTCCCTCTTCTTTGGGGCAGCCCCTGAGATATTGGAAGATTGCTATCATGTCCCCCCTCATCCTTCTCTTCATTAAACTAGATGTTTGGAAGGGACCTTGGAGGTCATATAGTCCTTCTCAGACATGAAACCCTATACTATTTCAGACAAATGGCTATCCAGTCTCTTCTGAAAGACTTCCAGTGTTGGAGCATTCACAGGTTCTGGAGGCAGGTTGTTCCACTGATCAATTGTTCTCACTGTCAGGAAGTTTTTCCTTAGTTCTAGGTTGCTTCTCTCCTTGATTAGTTTTCACCTGTTGCTTCTTGTCCTGCCTTCAGGAGCTTTGGAGAATAGCTTGACTCCCTCTTCTTTGGGGCAGCCCCTGAAATACTGGAAGACTGCTATCATGTCCCCTCTGGTCCTTCTTTTTATTAAACTAGACAGACCCAATTCCATCAACCTTTCCTTATATGCTTTAGCCTCCAGTCCCCTGATCATCTTTGTTGCTCTTCTCTGCCCTCTTTCTAGAGTCTCAACATTTTTTGTACATCGTGGTGATCAAAACTGGATGCAGTATTCCAAGTGTGGCCTTACCAAGCAATTGATGTGGGCCGGATGGGGACACCCTGGATGTGACCCATAGGCTATCAAATACGCAGGTTTGATCTATTTCAAGCCCAAAATATGAGAGAGCAGGAAAAAATCTAAGAACAACCATATCGTCAGAATGGGCAGGCAAATAGTTGAGTTCTGTTGTACAAAGAAGAGCCGTTTAGCATAAACCACAATGACGTGAGAATGATGGAACGCATATTGCCATGTCACAACACCAGCCGTCTTCTTTGCGTACTTAATGGGCAAACGCAGCAAGGGCAGAATTTGCAAGCCTCACTGTATCATTTCCAAACACGGTGGTCACGGGACATTTGTTTTGCCGGCTTAATCGATGTTTTGACGTCAGCAAATTCGTGGTTCAATAAATAGCATTTATGCAACTTATTATCATATTTGGTGGTCTTGTAGAAATATAAAGGCTTTTTGGATTAAGATTTGGTGGAATATTCAAAAAAAATTTAATAGAAGGATAAAATTTACACCACAATTATTTTTGTTAGGTATTATGGAAGATTGTGATAGTAAAGAGATTATTTTAATGTTGAATTTTATTACGGCAGCAAGGTTATTGATTGGGCAATACTGGAGAAAAGACTCTTTGCCTACCTTAGAGGAATGGTTTTTTAAAGTTTCTTATTTATCAGAAATGGCAAAAATATCGGCTTATCTGAAAGACCATTCACAAGAGAGATACAATTTTGTATGGAAAAGATGGGTAAATTTTGTTCAGAACAAATATGGGATTAGAAAGTATTATTTAGCTTTTGAATAACTTATTGTATAAAGTTGTTATGTTTAGATTTGTTGATTTTATTGTAATGGAGTTAAAGGGGTTCTAAAATTTTTTAGGATTTACGTATAATTGATTGATGTTTACTTAATTTTTTATGGTTTTTTTGTTGTTTTTAGCTCTGTATTCAGCTCTGGGAAGGGGGGGAGGGTTAATGGGAGGGGGGAGGGAAAGAGGTGGGGAGGGATTTTATTGTAAAATGTTTATAAAAATTTCAATTAAAAAAAATAAAATAAAAATAAATAAATAGCATTTACATCCTTATCAAATGCCCTTAAATAGCATTTACATCCTCCTCCCTTGCATCCTGCGTACGCAGAGCGTTCCAGGTATCCTGACTCAAAATGCTGATTGCAAAAAAATGGGGATCGTATTTTGGCTGCATAAGAAAAGCTTATTAACATTGTGTTTGTTTGTTTTTTTATTATTTTTCAGATTGGGCAGTCCGAAGTTTACATCATTAGTCCTGAGACCAAAAAAGTAGTCATTGAGAAAAGCTTTAAAGAAATTTCCTTTTGCTCCCAGGTATAGACTTTTTTCTTTCTTTCTTTCTTTCTTTCTTTCTTTCTTTCTTTCTTTCTTTCTTTCTTTCTTTCTCTCTCTCTCTCTTTCTTTCTTTTTTCATTCTCTTGTCTCTGATTGATTTCTCTGTCGTTTTTTTCACACATTACCCTCGTCATCATCATTACTGGTTTTTTTGTTTCGTTGTGAAACAAAGTCCCATTGGTGTTTTGGCTGTTTAATTAAATGACCTCTCGATTACAGTTTTATACAGATAGTCCCTGACTTGTCACAGTTCATTTAGCGACCGTTCCAAATTACGACGGCGCTGAAGAAAAGGGATTTACAACCATTTTTTCATACGTACAACTGGTTCATTTTTACGACGGATTGCAGCGTCCCCTGGGGGATCATGAAGCTGGGGTTTCCCCCCCCCCAGATTGTCCAAAGAATAGATGCAAATCATGCAATTCCGTGGGAATCCCCTCATTCTGAATGGGCCGGATGCCAATAATGAACGTACTTATAAAAGAAACTTCAAAATACGTTAGTCTAAATCCCAGAACGGTTATTCCTAAAGGAAATCTGTCATAAATTAGAAAGAGCTTCTTTGAGACCGTTTTCTTTTGTCTGAGAATATTTCTGAGTCAGCCCTGAGTCTCTTTGCCCTCAAGGTCAAATTCTTTTTTCATTTTTTTTCAGGCCAGCTGGAAATAAAATCTTAATTTTCCTACTCCCAGTTTACTTAATGGTTAGCTCGTAGCTCAGGCGCTGGAGGAGAATATTTACACCCCACATCTTAAAATCTGTCGATAAAGCAAGGCAGATGCTACAACCTGCCTCTTGATTTGGAGGCTCGCCATAAGATTTGTAGACAATGTTCTCTTATCTTAAGGCGTCGCAGTTGAAAAATTATCGGTTATTTCCTTTTTTTTTTTTCCTGTTCAGAACCGTTCTTCACACTTACGGACGTTGCAGCGTCCCCAGGGTCATGTGATCAAAATTTGGACACTTGGCAACTGACTCGTATTCATGACGGTTGTGGTGTCCCGGGGTCACGTGATCCCCTTTTGCGACCTTCTCACAAGCAATGTCAGTGGGGAAAGCCAGCTTCACTTAATGACTGTGTTCCTAACTTAACGTCTGATGCACTTAAGAAGCGTGGCAAGCAAGGTCGTAAAATGGGGCAAAACTCACTCTTGCTTAGCATATGGAATTTTGGGGCTCAGCTGGGGTCGTAAAGCGAGGACTCTGTGTATTGTTGACTGCGAACCGTGCTATTGATACCTGCTCCTTCACAAACGTTTGATGCAACGATTTTTGTCTTTGCAGGGGATTAGGCACGTGGATCACTTTGGATTTATCTGCAGGGAGCCTTCCAAACACGGAGGCTTCCATTTTGTGTGTTATGTGTTCCAGTGTGCAGAGGAAGCCCTGGTAAGAATTACTGGCAACAAGATTGTATTATTTGAAATGCTTTGAAGGGTTTGCAATCCACCCGCTCATCCGGCACAAAATTAGGGATCGTAGACCAGCCTGGGGGCTAGAAGACTTTGCAAAAAAACGCTTAAGATGAGTCTCTGTAAGTCCTCTTCCTGAATTTATTGGTTTAAAGGAGCAGCAGCAGCTCCCAGTGGTGAAAGCTGACTGTGATTTGATTATTTTTAATCTCTAAATTATTATTGTAGCACAAGAGCTCGTGGCTGTGCAGAGTGCCAATGCTAAATTTGCAGCAAAGTGGCTGTTTATTGAATACTTTTTTTTTTTTTTTTGCATACATCCAGACTAGGCTGTGTTTCTCTGGGCCACTTAATGCGTGTATATGTGGGTATATGTATAATTTATTTTATTTTATGCAGTGTATATTGGAGGTGGTTAAATAAGAAATCTCATTGTAATGTATGCTGATTAATGTAAATTTAAATTGTCAATAAAGTTATTCTATTCTACTCTACTCCACTCCACTCTACTTCACTCCACTCCACTCCACCTCACTCCACTCCACTCCATTCCATTCCTACTTTATTCTATTCTATTTCTACTCTACTCTATTCTACATTCCATTATTCTATTCTATTCTATTCTATTCTACTCTACTCTACTCTACTCTACTCTACTCTACTCTACTCTACTCCACTCCACAATATTCTATTCTGTTCTGTTCTGTTCTATTCTATTCTATATTCTATTCTATTTTATTCCATTCCATTCTATTCTATTCTATTCTACATCAGGGTTTCAGGACAACGATCTAGAAATTTATACCTGAAATTTCACTTCCTTGGGTTTGGATGCTACAATTAAGGAAGAACTTTTAAAGAAGTCATTGATCAGATTAGGAACTCTATAAAGTCCAATTTAAATCCAATGTGTAATGCCAATTTTTCTACAAGGCTTTCTTTTTCTTCCCACCTAACAGGACAAATTTGCGGTCCCGATGTTGTAAAACATGTGTACTCCTTAACCTATGAATGCTGCTCTTTTACAGTTCAGGGGCTGTTGATGTGATTGAATTTATTTTTATGGACTGTACTTTATTGTCGTAGTCTCCCGCTTTATAAATTGCTTAAAGCGCAAAAAAGGACAATATGTGCTTAAATAATGGTGATGGCCTTGCTCTCTCTCTCTCTCTCTCTCTCTCTCTCTCTCTCTCTCTCTCTCTCTCTCTCTTTCTCAAACTTGGTTCTTGTCATCGCAGGAGTAGAATCACAACTTTGGAAAGTCCACAACTTTGATTTTTTTTCTCCCCTCCCCTCACTTAGGTGGATGAGATCATGATGACCTTGAAGCAAGCTTTCAGCGTGGCAGCCATCCAGCAAAATTTCAAAGCTCAGCTTCAATTCTGCGACGAGTGTCCGATGCAAATTCTTCATAAGCTTTGTGAAAAGATAGAAGGTAAGAATTATCTGGATTGGTCTATGTGTTTTCTTTGATGCCTTTGGGAGTTAGCCAATATATATATATATATATATGTGGCTTCTAGGAGCACGAAGCTGAAAGCACCAGCCTAAGATGACGAATGAGACTTCGTCGAAATGTCGCCAAGACACTTCCAATTTTACGTGGGAGAAAACCCGAATAACCACATATACATATGCATATACATATATCCAAATTTCTTTTTCTGACAAAGAGTTAAAGAATTAAATTGGGAGACTAAGATGGCCATTTCGAGCTCATTCTGCTCTCGTCAGTTAGCCACACCCTTTATGGGATTCAAACCTGGGCAGTTTACATACTAGGCAGTGATTTAACCACCAAGCCACAGGCTTTCCTCCCCTCTTTACCAGCCGAGTCAAGGGAGTATATGCAGGAATTTTTTCAGACAGACCGGTCTGATTGATTACCCCTTGGCATTTTTTTTATATATATATATAATCGGGAGCAAAAAACAAGATTGTTTTTTTTTTTTTAGGGTGTAAAAATGGCTACTTGACCAATGTAATAATGTTGATCTGTTTTATTTGTTAGGGACGCATCCTTCTAAAATTAAGTTGGAACTGCAGAAACATTTAACAGCGCTGAATAACCAAGAGCAAGCCTCCATCTTTGAGGAAGTTCAGGTAATTTGCCAGTGTGTTGTTGTTGTTTTTTCTTCTCTGTGGAGGAAAAATACATTTTCTAAGTTGTGCCCTTAGTTTGTGCCTCTTAGCAGGAGCTGCATTAAATTTGTGGAAATTGCTTGCCCAGCGTTAGACACCATTGGCTGATTATAGAATTCATCAAGATCAGCCGTGCTTTTCTTACTACGTCATCTGAGACTTGCCCATACCTTTGTTTGTTTACTTCGAAATAGATTTACGTTTTTGAAAGGGGAAAAAAATGGTCCAAAAAACATTTTGCTTTATATTGGATTGGGGGGCTGGACTAGAAGACCTCCAAGGTCCCTTCCAGCTCTATTCTATTCTATTCTATTCTATTCTATTCTATTTTTCATTTATTCTACTCTACTTCTATTCTATTCTATTCTTCATTTATTCTATTCTATTCTATTCTATTCCATTTTTCATTTATTCTACTCTACTTCTATTCTATTCTATTCTTCATTTATTCTATTCTATTCTATTCTATTTTTCATTTATTCTACTCTACTTCTATTCTATTCTATTCTTCATTTATTCTATTCTATTCTATTCTTCATTTATTCTATTCTATTCTATTCTATTTTTCATTTATTCTACTCTACTTCTATTCTTCATTTATTCTATTCTATTCTGTTCTATTCTATTCTTCATTCTTTCTATTCTATTCTATTTTTCATTTATTCTACTCTATTTTTCATTTATTCTACTCTACTTCTATTCTATTCTTCATTTATTCTATTCTATTCTATTCTATTCTATTTTTCATTTATTCTACTCTACTTCTATTCTATTGTATTCTTCATTTATTCTATTCTATTCTATTCTATTTTTCATTTATTCTACTCTACTTCTATTCTATTCTATTCTTCATTTATTCTATTCTATTCTATTCTTCATTTATTCTACTCTACTATTCTATTCTATTCTATTTTTCATTTATTCTACTCTACTTCTATTCTATTCTGTTCTTCATTTATTCTATTCTATTCTATTCTATTCTATTCTATTCTATTCTATTCTATTCTATTCTATTCTATTCTATTCTATTCTATTCTAAATTTTTGTAGAATTGATGGCCCAGAGATGAGGTTAAAAAAAAAACCTAGAAATAACAGGAAGGTTGTAAGTTTTTTCAAGTCAGCCAAATAAACATGGCCTTTAAAAGCAAGGATTATTCCCTTCTCTGAATGACAGGATAGAAAGCTAATTAAAATAAATTGTTTCATAACTCCAGCTATGTATTGTGAAATTGACACAGCCAAGTCAGTTATGTTATAGGTAGTTCTCAACTTACGGTCACAACTGAGCCCAAATTCTCTGTTCCTAAGTGAACCATTTGTTAAGTGAGGCTTGCCCCATTTTATGACCTGTAAGCCACAGTTGTTAAGTGAATCACACATAATTGTTAAGTTAGTGACACAATTATTAAGTGAATTTGGCTCCCCCCCCCCATGGACTTTGCTTGAGCCCCGGGACACTGCGACCGTCGTAAATACGAGTCAGTTGCCAAGGGTCTGGATTTTGATCACGTGACCATGGGGAACGCTGCCACGGTCGTCAGTGTGAAAAAATGGTCCTAAGCCAGTTTTTTCAGTGCCGTCGTAACTGTGAACGGTCACTAAATGAACCACCTGTATTTGCAGCCATTTTGTGATGCAAAAATCCTCTTTCGTGCAGAAAATAAGGCCAAGAAATGAACAGAAGGAGAATGAACTAATCGTGTCTATGCTGAGAAGCATGTATGAAGAAAAACAGAAGGATCACGTTCACCTGGGGGACGTTAAACAGGTCTGCCGTTTTCTTTTTCTGACATTTCTTTTGAAAGACAAGATGGGGAAAATGTTTTCCAACAGGGATCGCGTAGGACTCCATTCTTTATTTTTTATCTTTAAAAATGGGGGGAGGCCTACAACTTTTGAGGCAATAGAAATTTGAAAATTGCTGCGCCCCCATGATCTTGCAAATACAAAAAGTTGGATATAGAGCTGGGGGACGTTTATGAGGGTGGCTCAAACCAGGTGAGAATCACCCAGATTTTAAACCAGCTTTGAGAAATGCAGGGTTAAGAGGAAGCAAATACAATACATCGTGTCTCTGAGTGATAGAAAAAATAAATTAAACCCAAAATGGCGACTTCCTTTTGTTTACTCATCTCACCAGCAAAATTGTTTTGCTGGTGTTTGCTCATATTTGAAATTTTGTTTGTTTTTTAATAAAGATCTATGTTTGCCTGCTATCATACTGCTTTTTTTTTTTTTAGCTATCATTTTGGGTTATTTTTTTTTTACTGAAAACTAAATAGCACCTTACATTTTGAATTAGATGTGTAATGCCAGTTCAGAATTAAAATGGTTTGGCATTTGATCTCTGATTGGCTAAGTTTCCTTAAAATGCCCCCCCCCATTTTTTTTTTTAAAGAAAATTTTATTGATTTTCTCGTTACACATTTAAATGAATGCTCCAACACTGGAGGTTTTTAAGAAGAGACTGGACAGCCATTTGTCTGAAATGGTATAGAGTTTCCTGCCTGAGCAGGGGATTGGACTAGATGACCTCCAAGGTCCCTTCCAACTTTACTATTGTTGTTGTTGTTGTTGTTGTTGTTGTTGTTGTTGTTATTATTAAATGTTTGAAAAGCAACTGAGTTGGTCAATAATTCAATAACATACAAATATCTTTAGTACCGATCACAAACTATGACATTCAACATTTCCTCTCTTTTCCCCTTGGTTTTTACTGTCTCATATTTAAATTCGTACAATTCCTATTATATTGATTAAATAAAAATAACTTTCTTACATTGATCAATCATTTTTACTTTATACATCTCCTAGTTATTTTAACATTCAATCTTTTTAGACAATCAATGTCCTGGTTACCGTATATTCCGGCATATAAGACGACTTTTGAGAGCGATGAAACAGCCTCCGAACTCGGGGGTCGTCTTATACGCCGAGTCATAACGTTTATTTATTTATTTATTATTTCCGGCGTATAAGATGACGTTCTAGGCATACGACTCGGTGTCGATCATCTTATACGCCGGAAATGACGTCATTTCCGGTGTATAAGATGATCGACACCGAGTCGCATGCCTAGAAAGTCATCTTATACGCCGGAAATAACGTTATAAACTACGTTTATTTCCGGCGTATAAGATGACTTTCTAGGCATGCGACTAGGTGTCGATCATCTTATACGCCAGAAATGACGTTATTTCCGGCGTATAAGATGATCGACGCCGAGTCGCATGCCTAGAAAGTCATCTTATACGCCGGAAATGACGTCATTTCCGGCGTATAAGATGATCGACGCCGAGTCGCATGCCTAGAAAGTCGTCTTATATGCGACTCGGCGTCGATCGTCTTGCGACCCGGCGTCGAACTCGGGGGTCGTCTTATACGCCGGGTCGCCTAATACGCCGGCATATACGGTAATTTTTCCCAATGCTTAGTTTCCCATTAAGATATTAAATTTAACGTTTAATATTTGTAATTTCTCCCCAAATGATTTCTATTCTTTATTTTGTATGCTGCTGCTGATTATATTAACTAGGCTAGACGGTTGCCAAGAAAATGACCAAATAAGGACTAATTAACCTATCTGGAGGATTTTGTGAAGTCTTTTTCATTTTTCATCAGCTCTTTCTTTTTTCCCCCCTAACCATGGAAATATCCACTGGGAGAAAAGGGTGGGAAAATGCAATCAAAACACAAATAAATTTCGTTTTGGGGAGAAGGAGTTCCTGTTGATTTATTCTTATTTTCTTTTCAAATGCATTTGTGATCTTAACCCCCCCTAGGCCACGCAATCTTCTGTAGAAGCTCTGGGAAACGAAATGCCGAACAACACAACTCGCTTCAAACTAGACATGCTCAAGAGCAAAGCCAAAAGGTCCCTTACAGAATCCTTAGAAAATATTTTATCTCGGGTAAGTCTCTTTGGATCGCTTGCCTCCAACGTGGCTGTTTGGGTGGTTGAAATCAAGAGTTATGAAAAAAAAAAATGCATTTTTGCTATCGTCAAATAAACAACTGTGCACGTGTTTGAAACGGTGGGAATCATGAACGACGTGTTACAAGTATCCCACTTTTTTAAGGGGATGCCAGACAATTATTTGCTCCTTTTCAATATTTCAGGCTTACTCTTTAAGTGTCAAGAGGAAAATAAATGCAAGTACGAGGAAATCCTTGATTTACAACCATTTGTTTAGACCAGGGGTAGGCAACCTTGGCTCTTTTATGACTTGTGGACTTCAACTCCCAGAATTCCTGAGCCAGCATGGCTCAGCTTGGAAGCCTCTCCCTTTCCTCTCAGCATGGCTGGCTCAGGAATTCTGGGAGTTGAAGTCCATGAGTCGTCAAAGAGCCAAGGTTGCCTACCCTTGCTCTAAACTAATAAAGTCTACTTTAATTATGCATTAATTATGCTTTCATATGTTCCTCTAGGTCAGGAGTAGGCAACTATGGCTCTTTTATGACTTGTGGACTTCAACTCCCAGAATTCCTGAGCCAACATGGCTCAGCTTGGAAACCTGTCCCTTTCCCCTCAGCATGGCTGGCTCAGGAATTCTGGGAGTTGAAGTCCACGAGTCATAAAAGAGCCAAGGTGGCCTACCCCTGCGCTAGAACCTTTAAATTTATTCCTTACAAGGAATGCCTTTTATATGAATTTTCATGTTTCTTTATATAAGTACCGTATATTTTTATATTTCATATATATATATAATATGAGGGTTTTCTTGGCAGGGAAATAAAAGCAAGAGCCTACAGGAAACTTCCGGAAGTATTGATTTGGATAGCTCCATATCGAGCACGCTGAGTAACATCAGTAAAGTAAGTGAATCGTTCACTGTAAAACCAACGCAAGGAATGGTTTCGATGTTCCGAGTAGCGCAGTTTTTTGTAACATTGCTAGAGTTATTGCAGGAAGCTGCAGTTTCTTGATGTGTTTTGCAAAGTTTTTGGACATAGTTCCTAGTGCCCCGATGACAATGGGTACCACTGTTACACGTTTCATCCATAATCGCGCAGTTTCGATGGCCAGGTCGCAATATTTCGTAATTTTTTCCAGTTCTTTTTCTTCGACTCTGGCATCTCCTGGTACAGCGATATCAATCAGCTGTACGCTTCGGTTCTCTACAACTGTGATATCCGGTGTATTGTGTTCCAAATGGCAATCTGTCTGTATTCAAAAGTCCCACAAGATGATGATGAGGAGGAGGAGGAGGATGATGATGATGATGATTAAAGTGTAGGGTAAAAAATGGATGGTTGGTTGGAAAAAGTGGTGGAACCACCAGAGATATCTAAATTCACTGCTTTACTCCAAAGAAAAGGACACATCTAACTTGGTTTCCACTTGGAAACGACTTCTGGATTTTGTGTTTGAGATGGAAAAAAATATGGAACTTGGATTGGGGTTTATGCCGAATCGGTCATGCCCAGTTTTGTTCCACTCGACAGGATACGTCTGTCGGTGACCAGGAAAATCATTTCTCCCTGGAGAGCCCTCTAAATCCAAATGGATCCGTGGACAATCTTGACCTTCTCTCCACCATGTTGGAAGGACCATCTGAAGAACATCTTGCCCAATCGGCCTACCAGGGCTTTAGAAGGCGCGCTAACACCCTCACCCACGTTCCGTTGGAGATCCAGGAGCCGTCTGAATCTGCGGAAGCGTCTCCGTCTGTTTCGCAAAGAAAACTTCTGAGGTACCATTCCATGACCACAGAAACTCCAGACCACCAAAAGTAAGAATATGTTTCTGGCCGGGGGAAGGGAGAGGCAGGGGGAGAAAATGTTTGCAGGTATGTCCGCCTTAGGCCAAGGAGAAGATTCTTCGGATCCATTCTTTGTCGTTAACCACAGCATGGACTCCCGATCTGAAATGTTGAGATGATGTAACAGCATCTTCTTTCCGTGAGAAGGTTCTTTATGAATGCAACTCCTAAGTCACCTTTATTAATCGTTGAGTTTGTCATCCTTATTAACCATTAATTGGGTTAGGGAGCAGGTATCCATCTTCTGTGATCAACTAACAGCACTCAATTGGTCCTAGGTAAGAGTTAATGGAAATCCAGAGGGGATTGGACTTACACCCTTTATGAATATGTGAGGACTCTAGGCTGATTCCTCTCTTGACTCCACCACCGATCTCTGTCTTCTCTTCTCCTATTCATTAGCATCTGTTATTTGGTCTCACAGTGTTAAAAAAAAAACCGGTGTTGAGGCCCTAGAAACAAAGCAGAGAAGAGCAACCAAGATGGATTACTCCTTACCCTTTTTTTATAAACTAGCAAACTCTGAAATTGCGTTCGACAGGATGGTGTGTGTTTGTTTACACTGACATCCATTTCACGGTCCTCTGCCTAATTTTTATGATACCGTCGCATGTAGAATGCAAAACTAACGCAACTGCATCCTTTCTTCACTAATTATTATTATTATTTTCCTGCTCTTTTCCATACTGGCGTAAACTTCCTCTGAAATGCTGGTCATCCTCAATGTAGGGGATTGGACTTACACCCTTTATGAATATGTGAGGACTCTAGGCTGATTCCTCTCTTGACTCCACCACCGATCTCTGTCTTCTCTTCTCCTATTCATTAGCATCTGTTATTTGGTCTCACAGTGTTAAAAAAAAAACCGGTGTTGAGGCCCTAGAAACAAAGCAGAGAAGAGCAACCAAGATGGATTACTCCTTACCCTTTTTTTATAAACTAGCAAACTCTGAAATTGCGTTCGACAGGATGGTGTGTGTTTGTTTACACTGACATCCATTTCACGGTCCTCTGCCTAATTTTTATGATACCGTCGCATGTAGAATGCAAAACTAACGCAACTGCATCCTTTCTTCACTAATTATTATTATTATTTTCCTGCTCTTTTCCATACTGGCGTAAACTTCCTCTGAAATGCTGGTCATCCTCAATGTACAACTCTAATTCAGCCCAAATTTTCTGTTGCTAAGTGAGACACTGGTTAAGGGAATTTTGCCCCCACGACCTTTCTTGCCACAGTTGTTAAGTGAATCACCGCAGTTGTTAAATTAGTGACCCAGGTGTTAAATGAATTGGGCTTCCTCAATTGACTTTGTTTGTCGGAAGGTCGCAAAAGGGGATCACGTGACCCCAGGACACCACGGCCGTCTTAAATATGAGCCAGTTGCCAAGCATCCAAATTTTGATCACGTGACCACGGGATGCCGTAGCGGCCATCACTGTGAAAACCGGTCCTGAGTTAGTTTTCTCAGGGCCGTTGTAACTTTGAAGGGTCACTAAACAAATTGTTGTGGGTTGAGGGCTCCCGGTAGCTTTTTTGGAAACACCGCAAAATTGGACGGAAGCCGACGCCAATTTTATTCCTCACCCTAAAAGAGACGTGTCTAGGATGAATGGTTAGCAGTGAAAAGGAAATGAAAAGAGGGAAGCGAGGATTCTGAAATTCGACGTTTCGTTGTCCCCTTTTTGGACCTTGTCTCTTGCTTTTCTTCTTCGAAGACCAGATTTTATCACAGGGGTATTTCCAACCAGACAGGGCTTGCTCAGTAAAAGGGGAGCTGTTAGTTGGCCTTTGAGGTCAGCTTCTTAGATGTCAGCTTAAATCTTATTTAGGGCATGAAGTTGCCTCAGCTTTGGTTTTATGGCAGTGTTTCTCAACCTTGACCATTTTAAGGCATGTGGACTTCAACTCCCAGAATTCCACAGCCAGCAATGCTAGCTGTGGAATTCTGGGAGTTGAAGTCCACATGCCTTAAAATGGTCAAGGTTGAGAAACACTGTTTTATGGAGAACGTTGTGTTTTGTTTTGCTTTGCTTTGTTTAAAATCCTTGAAATCCTCCCGTTTCACGTGCTGAAGAGTTTGCTTCAAACACCGTACTCGAAGGGCGAGAGAAAATACGTAGAGTTTTATTGTGACCCACAACCTCATTTGAACTTCATCTACGTTCTGTTAATAGATTAAAAGCTCCGATTAAACAAGCGTGGCGCAAACTCAATTTATGGCGTCACGGCTTTGGGGACCTCCCCCATCCCTATTTGTGTCAGGAAAAGGACGTGAGAATCAGCCCGTTGAAGGGAATAAGTTGAATCAGATGTTCCAGTCCACGAGATGACATTCAGGTGTGGGTTTGAGGGTCCTTCTGTAAAAAGTCACGCAAACATTTTTTATCCTCGGTAGCTAACCTCTCTGAATACAAACCAAGAAAGAGAGTTCGTCAGCTGACATTCCCTTCGGTCCAGCGTTAACATTTGGGTTGTAGTGGTTTTCAGTGTTACTAACGTTTGTGCATGTAAGGGAAGTGGATTAGAAGTCGATGGCGGTTGTGTGGCCATTTCACAGGAGCTCCTGGTGGCTTTTTGTGTTACCGTCTTAACACAACGAACGTCCTCGTGACACTGAGAACGAGAACGCATGTAAGGACCCACCCCACTTTGCATCTTAAGAAGACAGAACTCTTGGAATAGTTCTTCCAACAGGAATCCTTTATTAAGAGAAAATGGTTGCAGGCATGCTAGACAGGACTTGGGGTCCAAGCTCTCCCATTCAAGGTTTTAAGGGGTTCCCCAGTAGTCCCACCCAATCAACCCCCCTTCCAGTGATAGTTTCAAGTATCACAATTCCACCTCCTTTCTTCTTTCTTCCGTCTGGATGGAGACTTCAGATACTACATGAAAGGCAATTACCCTTCTTTGATATGTTAACGCTTAGAGGTTACAATAAACACACATTCAGCTCTTTGAAGTGTAAAGAAGGAAGTGAGGGCCATAAAGCCCCTTTGCTCTCCCCCTTCTCTCCCTCTTATGGCAGAATCCAGAGAAGGCAGAATTGGGAGTTTCTATATTTGATAATTTAAAGATGAAATATAATTGGATTCTGACATCCGGCCCCTCTTAACAATAAGAGAGATCCACCTGAAAGAAAACGCAAGTAAAAATTTTAGTTAGGCTTGTTAGGATACTCTGTGTGAAACTTCTTCAATAGCTTCGGGGCTCTGACATGACGTTTATGGACCCACTCATTTTGTGAGGGAGGGAGGTGTTTCCAGGCAACTAGGTACTGAGTTGCTCCATGATATCTCCTAGAGTCAAGGACTTCCTTTATTTCGAAGTGTTGTTCACCCTCCACCATGATTGGAGGTGGTGGGGGGGGGATTTTTGGCCGTAGAGGTGACTGATGCTCTCTTTTCAGCAAGCTGCAATGAAAAATTGGGTGTATTTGCCTGAGATTTTTGGGTAACTCTAATTCTACTGTTACTGGATTTATGATTCTTTTAATTGGAAAAGGTCCTATGTATTTTGGTCCAAGTTTTTTACAGGGCTGTAGGGACTTTAGGTATTTTGTAGATAAGTACACCATCTCTCCTATAATGAATGGTGTAGGCTCAACCCTTTTTTTATCGGCTTGTGTTTTGTAAGCCTGCCTAGCTTCATCTAGTGCTTTTCTGACTATTGGCCAGGTGTTTTGTAATTTTTCCATCCATTCTTTCAGCGAGGGGATCGTTGGTTCGTTTGGGGTTAATTCTGGCATGGGGTTGAAACTTTGACCGGTGGCTATTTGAAAAGGAGTGTAACCTGTGCTGGAGTGGACTGCATTATTGTAGGCAACTTCTGCAAAGGGGAGTAAGTCCGCCCACTCGGTCTGCTGGAAACTAAGAAAACATCTTAAATATTGCTTAAGTACTGAGTTCATTTTTTCAGCCCCCCCATTTCCTTGAGGGTGGTGGCTAGATGTCAGTCCCTGAGTGGTTCCTAAGAGGGATAAAAATTCCTTCCAAAATGCAGACGTAAATTGCACCCCCCTGTCAGAGATGATGCGTTGGGGTGCCCCATGCAATCTGTAAATGTGTTGGATGAAAAGTTTTGCTAAGGCTTTTGCAGTGGGAATCTTTTGGCAAGGGATAAAGTGCACCTGTTTGGAAAACAAGTCCGTGACCGTCCAGACCACAGTATTCCCATTGCTTTCTGGCAATTCCACTATAAAATCCATGGCTATTTCTCTCCAGGGGGCTGAGGGACTTGCCACTGTTTGCAATAGTCCTGGCACTTTCCCTTGCAACCTCTTTGCCGTGGCACATTTTGGACAACTGGCTATATAACTTTCAATGTCCTTTTTCATGGATGGCCACCAAAATTGCCGTTTAATTAAATGTAAAGTTTTTACAAATCCAAAATGCCCTGCTGATTTTGTGTCATGGCAAAGGTGCATGAAAGTTACTCTTTGAGTTGTTGGTATATATAACTTTTCCCCTATCCAAGGCAACCCGTCTTTCATTGTGCACACATTTTTGTTTTTCTGGAACCAATCATCTGTTTCCAAACTTTTTCTGAATTCAATTCCAGTTTGGCTGTCCAGTTGTGGTTTTAATTTGGCTTGGGTTCTTGTGGTTACTGGTGCTGCCAGTTGTGACTCTGCCATTATTGGTCTAGAGTCTGTGGTTCGTGCGCTGTTATATTGGGGCATGCGAGATAGTGCATCTGCCAGGAAGTTCTTTCTTCCTGGTAAATGTTTGAGCTTAAATTGGAATTGGTGAAAATGCTGGGACCAGCGGGCTTGTTTGGGATTGAGTTTCCTGGAAGTTTTCAGGGCTTCCAAATTTTTGTGATCAGTCCACACCTGGAAGGGGATTTTGTTGCCTTCCAGGAACTGTCGCCATGTGAGTAATGCCCAACGTATCCCATAAGCCTCCTTCTCCCATACAGGCCAGCGCTGTTCTGTTTCCGTGAGTTTCTTGGATGTATATGCACAGGGTTGCAATACTGCATCATCATTTTCTTGTAATAGCACAGCCCCCACTGCCACATCACTTGCATCTGCCTGTATTATGAAGGGTTTGTCCATGTCTGGGTGCCTTAGTACTGGTTCGGCAGAAAAAAGTCTCTTTAGTCTCTCAAACGCTGCTTGGCACTCCATTGTCCATGTTAGTGGCTGGCTAGGTTTTACTGAGGATGTTCCCTTCGTTTTTAGTAAGTTAGTGAGGGGCAAGGCTATCTGTGCAAATGAGGGGATGAATTGGCGGTAAAAATTTGCAAAGCCCAGGAAACTTTGTAGTTGCTTTCTTGTGCGGGGTGGTGCCCATTCTAATACTGCTCTGACCTTCTCTGGGTCCATTTCAATGCCCTGTGGGGATATGCGATAGCCTAGGTAGTCTATCCTTTCCTGGTGGAATTCGCATTTTGAGAGTTTGGCATATAGGTGAGCGGCTCGCAGCTTCTTTAAAACCGCTCTGACAAGTTTGACGTGTTCTTCTTTTGTTTCGGTAAAGATAAGAATGTCGTCCAAGTAAACAAGGACCCCCTTAAACAGGTGCTCCCTTAGAACGTCATTGATTAGTTGCATAAAGACTGCAGGGCCCCCTTGTAATCCAAATGGCAAGACTTTGAATTGATAGCACCCCATGGGGCAGTTAAATGCAGTCTTCCATTCGTCCCCTTCCTTGATTCTCACTCGATAGTAAGCTTCCCTTAAGTCTAGTTTAGAAAAAATTTTCCCTTTCGATAGGTGTGACAGCATGTCTTTCATGAGGGGCAGCGGGTATAGGTTGCTTTCACTGATTGTATTCAGGGCCCTATAATCCACGCATAAACGTAAAGAGCCATCCTTCTTCTCTCTAAAAAGGACCGGGGCAGCCACTTTAGGCTTGGCTGGCTCAATGAAACCTCTCTCCAGGTTTTTTTTTATAAATCTTTCCATTTCCTCCTTCTCCTTTGGGCTCATGGAGTATAATCTGGGCTTCGGGAGTTTTGCCCCAGGCTTGAATTCAATGGTACAGTCTGTGGGTCGGTGGGGGGGAAGCTCATTCGCCCTCTCCTCACTGAAGACTTCAGCAAGGTCCCTATATTCCTCTGGTATTTCTGTTAATCTTTTTTCCTCTCCTATGGATGCTTTTTCTATTCTTGATTCTGGTAGCCTCTCTTGGGGTTTTAAGTCCATAGGGTCCCCCTTCGGGAATTTGATTTCTGTCGTCCTCCAATTTACCCAGGGGTTCCATTTTTTCAACCATTCCATCCCTAGAATCATTGGGCATTCCATACCTGGGGTCACCACAAACGTTAAGTCCTCTTCATGGTTGCCCAGGGAGAGGTGTATTGGCAGAGTGGCTAGGGTAGCTGGCACCCCCCCTGCTATGGATCCATCTAGCTGGCCAAATGAGATTGGTTGTTCCAGTCTCCTGGATGGGATGCCCAGATTCCCCACTAGTGTTGGGCTAATGAGGCAGCGGGTGCAGCCAGAGTCTATTAAGGCTTTCACCTTCACAGCTTCGGGCATGGGGGGGATTAATATAGTCACTGTTTTGAAGATGGGTGTGATGCGTCCACTTACCAGGGGTTCGCCTTCCGAGCTGTCATCTGAGGCATCCACCGTCCCTGTGGTGTAGGCTGGAGTTCTTTCCCCTTGGTGAGCAGAGGTGGGGTTTTCTGCAATTTCCATCATTTTCATGGCTGTTTCTTTTGGCTTAGCTGAATACCCTCTGGGTTTGTTGATTGGGGATCTGTCTGGGTTGTGCTGGGGGGCCTTTGAGCGGCATTCTACAGCTCGATGCCCTTCTCTTCCGCACTTGAAACACCCCATCTGCTTCTTGGCTGTATCCGATGATTTCACCGGTTGGTGTGTCAGCTCAGGCGGGGGGCGGCTCCATTGTTTTCCTCGGCGATGCCTCTTCAATATGTCGATCTCTGCTTCCTCTGCCAAGACGTACCATTCCTCAAGTCGATGTGGGTCTCCTCGGGGCAGGCAAGCATCATATAGATCATAGTTTAGTCCGTCTTTGAAACGGCCAAGGAGGATGTCTTCTGGCCAATTCAGTTTGCTGGCAATGGCTCGGAATTCTTGTGTATACTCAGCCACTGGGCGTTTGCCCTGCCTCATCGTTGTTATTCTTTCACGGGCTTTGCGATCAGCTAGGGGGTCTTCAAATCGTCTTCTCAACGAGGACATGAAACGGTTGAAGTTACTGAGTTCTGGGGCATTGGAGTCATGCAGGTTCACCACCCAATCTGCAGCTGGTCCATCCAGGGCAGATTGCACGATCCGGATGCGGGCTTTGTCGCTGGGGATGTCCTGCCCATATTCCTCCATGTAGCTGAGGACTTGGGTTAGGAAAAACCCCAAGCGTGTTGGCTCCCCTTTGAATTTCACCTCCAACGGTGGACGTCTTGGAATGGATCGGTGCCTCCATTGTGGGTGGTAGTGTCTTCCGTCCAGATTTCCATCTGTGGTCCGGTAGGGGGTGGGAGCTCCTGGATCAGTAAATGTCCCTGGGGTTGCAGGTTCCACGTCCCCCTCGGTGTCTCTCCCTTTGTGGCTCCAGGAACTGGGGCGGGCGTAGGGCTCAGGAATCTCCTCTCCTAGGGAGCTGAGAGTTCTCTTCATCAGGTCAATAGCTCTCTCTAGGATCCAGTCTGAGTACGGCATACAGCTTCCTCCCTCTTCACTTGCGTGCAGGGATTTCTCCATCTCCTGCTTCCATTCTGGTTGCTTGGTCCCCCGTCTCAGGGTCACTTTTCTTGATTCCTTTCCCCACTCGCTTTTCTTTCCAACGCCCATCGACCAGCGAGGCTTGTGGTCCTGTGTCTCCACCACTTCTTCTTCTGAGAAATCTGGCCTCTCGGATCCCAACATCTGGCAAGGTTCCAACTGGGTCAGCGGCTCTCTTTCCAGGGAGTTTTCTCCCTCTCTTGCTTCGTTGTCTGACATGGTAAATTTTTGCAAAATCCCCCGGCAAGGGTCTACCTTCCAGGTGGATTAATTTTGCAAGTCCTGTCTAATGTAAGGACCCACCCCACTTTGCATCTTAAGAAGACAGAACTCTTGGAATAGTTCTTCCAACAGGAATCCTTTATTAAGAGAAAATGGTTGCAGGCATGCTAGACAGGACTTGGGGTCCAAGCTCTCCCATTCAAGGTTTTAAGGGGTTCCCCAGTAGTCCCACCCAATCAACCCCCCTTCCAGTGATAGTTTCAAGTATCACAATTCCACCTCCTTTCTTCTTTCTTCCGTCTGGATGGAGACTTCAGATACTACATGAAAGGCAATTACCCTTCTTTGATATGTTAACGCTTAGAGGTTACAATAAACACACATTCAGCTCTTTGAAGTGTAAAGAAGGAAGTGAGGGCCATAAAGCCCCTTTGCTCTCCCCCTTCTCTCCCTCTTATGGCAGAATCCAGAGAAGGCAGAATTGGGAGTTTCTATATTTGATAATTTAAAGATGAAATATAATTGGATTCTGACAACGCGGCACGGAGATTCTCAGTCATCCCGATCACGGTTGTCTCCGAGGTGCTTTGTTCAGGACGCAACTGGACTCTCTTGTTTTTCTTTGGAGATGTTTCTCTAATCGTCCGAGAAGCTTCTTCAAGTCCCCACCCTCCAGTTTCTTCACTCTGGTGTCTCCCCCAAGCTTTCCAAAGCTGAGGCCTCTCAAGAGGGCTGGGAAATGGGCAGTTTTACCCTCATTAAAAACTGACTTCTGCCAAGCTGTAAGCAGCAATACGTGCTCCATGCATTCATGTATTCTGTCTACCTATCTTTATTCTGACCCCATCAGTGTACGGTACATGATCAGAAGTTCATAGAAGAAGCACATTTCAGTCAAAGAGCTTAAGATGCTTCTTGATGCCACTTTCTGTGCGTAGAGGTCCTACTCTTAATTAAAGTGCTTCAGTTATATCTTTATTTTTGTTTTCAGCCTTTATATATGCACATACTTTATTTGACTTTTTTTCCTTCCTTCCTTCCTTCCTTCCTTCCTTTCACCTCCCTCTCCTTCCTTCCTTTCCCTCTCTCTCCTTCCATCCATCTATCCATCCATCTCATCTTTCCTCTCTTCTCCTCGCCCCTTTCCCCTTCCTCCCTCTCTTCCTTCTTTCCCACCCTGTCTCCTTTCTTCCATCCATCCATCATCTCATCTTTCCTCTCCTCTCCTCTCCCCTTGCCTTCCTTCCCCTTTCCCCCTCCTTCCTTCCTTTTCACTCTCCTTCCTTCCATCCTTCCATCCATCCTCCATCTTTCCTCTCCTCTCCCCTTGCCTTCCTTCCCCCTTCTCCCTCCTTCCTTTTCACCCTCTCTCCTTCCTTCCATCCTCCATCTCATCTTTCCTCTTCTCTCCTCTCCTCTCTTCTCCTCTCCCCTTGCCTTCCTTCCCCTTCTCCTCCTTCCTTCCTTTTCACCCATCCATCCATCCATCCATCATCTCATCTTTCCTCTCCTCTCCTCTCCTCTCCTCTTGCCTTCCTTCCCGCTCCTTCCTTCCTTTTCATCCTCTCTCCTTCCATCCATCCATCCATCCTTTATCTCATCTCTCCCCTTGCCTTCCTTCTCCCTCCTTCCTTCCTTTTCACCCTCTCTCCTTCCTTCCATCCTCCATCTCATCTTTCCTCTCCTCTCCTCTCCTTCCCCCTTGCCTTCCTTCTTCCTCCTTTCTTCCTTTTCACCCATCCATCCATCATCTCATCTTTCCTCTCCTCTCCCCTTGCCTTCCTTCCCGCTCCTTCCTTCCTTTTCATCCTCTCTCTCCTTCCATCCACCCATCTATCCTTTATCTCATCTTTCCTCTCCTCATCCCCTTCCACCTTCCATCCTCTCTCCCTCCCTTCCTCCTCCTGGAATCCCCTTATAAAATCTGACCACGGCTGGCTAACCCTTCTCCCAGTCAGCCATCCGCCACTTCTGCCCTGCCTCCTCCAGCTCGGCTTCATTCCTCAGCCTCCTCACCCAATTTCTTCAAGCGCACTAGGCATAGCTCAAGCGGAGAACAAGGCAGACATGCCATGTCAAAGAGGTGAGGAGAGATCTATTGTGTGTGTGCCTGTGGGGGTGGGTGTAGCTGGCAGTGTATCAGCTCATCAAGGTTTTCACTGAAGCAGGGGTAGGCAACCTCGGCTCTTTTATGACTCAGGGACTTCAATTCCCAGAATTCCTGAGTCCGTTATGCTGACTCAGGAATTCTGGGAGTTGAAGTCCATGAGTCATAAAAGAGCCGAGGTTGCCTACCCCTGCACTGAAGGTATTTGTGCATTGCAAAGAAAAGCCATAAATTAAACCGAAATAAGCCGGGTGACTTATTTCAGGCCCACAGGAAAATCGCCCTGTCTTGCTACTGTAATGTAGCTCTTCGTTAATTAATTGACCACATGAAATCTAGGAAGAAATAAAATAAAACTCGGTATAACATATTCAAAGCCTCAGGTTAAAAGAAGCGTAAGCTCAGCCCGTTCCAATGTTATTATCATTGATTGCGTGTGTGTGACACAGTTGGTCCTTATTGGTTTACCTCAGGGGTCTTCAAACTTGGCCCTTTTATGATTGTGGACTTCAACTCCCAGAATTCCTCAGTCAGCCATTTTGATGAAACCACAGGCTTAGATCCAGACCAGGGGTCTTCAAACTTGGTCTTTTTATGACTTGTGGAGTTCAACTCCCAGAATTCCACAGCCAGCATGCCTGGCTGAGGAATTCTGGGAGTTGAAGTCCACATGTCATAAAAGGGCCAAGTTTAAAGACCCCTGGTTTACATAATAGGTGTCATTAATTTTACCACACCCTCCGTTCAAAATTGAAACAAAAATGGATGCAGGAGAGCTTCTAGCACAGATACTTCTCCTTTACACCTGGACTCATCTTATGAGATTCCTCTACCCTGCCTTCTCATAGCCTTGCTTTCAGTGTTGATAACCCACTTCAAAGAAAATGACACAAATGTGATTTCATGGCCTATCCTGAAAATGGAATGAGCCTCTAAGCCAGGGGTAGGCAACCTTGGCTCTTTCATGACTCATGGACTTCAACTCCCAGAATTCCTGAGCCAGCCACGCTGAGGAGAAAGGGAGAGGTTTCCAAGCTGAGCCATGCTGGCTTAGGAATTCTGGGAGTTGAAGTCCATGAATCATAAAGCGGCCTAGGCCTAGGCCAGGGGTAGGCAACCTTGGCTCTTTCATGACTCGTGGACTTCAACTCCCAGAATTCCTGAGTCAGCCACGCTGAGGGGAAAGGGAGAAGTTTCCAAGCTGAGCCATGCTGGCTCAGGAATTCTGGGAGCTGAAGTCCACCAGTCATGAAGGGCCAAGGTTGCCTACCCCTGTTCTAAGCAGTTATCTTAAAAAAAATAAAATAAAATTACACAGGTGACAGTGTTAGCCTTTGCTTTGTTTTCATTCCTGGCAGTCTTACATTTTTTTCTTAATTTGTTGCTTATTCCTTTTGTCGTTTCTTTTGTTCTCTCTCTTCCTGCCTGTTTTCCCCGCCGCGCTAAACTTCTCCCGTTCTGAGCTTCTTGTCAACTACGTTCAGCACCTCCTACCGTTCCTCTCTCCAGCAAAAGCTTCACTCCTGCTCTTCTGTACCCAATTTCTTAAAATTCCTGGCTCCCGTCGATGAGAATGTCACCTCCGATTTTAGGAAGTCCACCAGGTAGGGAATCCTTGGTTCAGAAAGATGCCTTCGGATCTAGGGGTACAGTTTAGAGGTTGAAGCTCTTGCGGTTTCAAGCGAGAAAGAAAAGTCTTCCGATTGAGATCAGCTCCACGTTGCCTTCCAAAACTGGCTGGCTGTGGGTTTCTTCTAAGATTTGGGCTACAGCTGTGGGATGGTGGGGAGGTCTGCTCTTCAAGTGCAAACCATAACTGACCACATTTAGCTTTTTCTTTTTAAATATATATATATTTGTTTTCTGAGGTTTTCGCAGGTGTTTGTATGTAGGTCTTTGGTTATTCGGGTTTTCTCACGCGTAAAATTGGAAGTGTCTTGGCGATGTTTCGACAAAGTCCCATTCGTCATCTTCAGGCTGGTGTTTTCGGCTTCGTGCTTCTAGGAGCAATGTGTGATCGCAGCTGTTTCTTCCTTTGCTCCTAGAAGCACGAAGCCGAAAACACCAGCCTGAAGATGACGAATGGGACTTCGTCGGAACGTCGCCCAGACACTTCCAATTTTATATATACTGTGTGTGTGTGTGTGTGTGTGTGTGTGTGTGTGTGTGTGTGTGTACAGGCATTAAACAACTGTATATAAGACTTCCCCCAGCGTTTGCCTTTTAACCCTGACGATGTCAAATGTATTTGACGAAAGCTTGGTGGATTAAATTCTATTTTTGATAGATATTTTTGATAGATATTCTCTTGCTATATTTTTTCTATCATGCTCTATGGAGTAGAGAGTTGGCCACCTGAAGAGACTAGAAGCATTTGAAATGTGGATTTACAGGCAGCTATTATGTATAAGCTGGGTTGACGAGATCAGAAATGAGGAGGTGATCAGCCACCTGGGAAAGCCCATGGAAATCGTCAAAACAATTAAAAAACGAAAATTAGTATATTTCGGACACGTGATGTGACACCCAGAAAAATACGGCATACTCCATTTAACCCTCCAGGGAAAGATTGAAGGCAAACGAGGTCCAGGCAGAAGAAGAATGTCGTGGCTTCAAAATCTAAGGGACTGATTTGGACAAAACTCAGCAGCACTTTTTCGTGCAGCTGCTGATAAAAACAGGATCGCCAACATGATCGCCAATGTCCATAACGGATACGGCACAAGAAGAAGAAGATATTAGGGAGATATTAGGGATAAGGTGGGGTCGGGATTAGGGTTAGGGTTGGGGTTGGGGTTGGGGTTCTTCCAAATAACATTTTCAATATTTAGCAAACAGCATAATGTCTGGGTACACGTATTTAACTAACAATAATAGATATAGTTAATTATCACAAACAATATGTTAGTTAATGCTAATATATATTTAAAATTACATATCACGTTCCTTTCTCTCAGACTCGGCTTTCTAGCCATTGATGGAAATTATCCCATGTTCTAAAATACACCGAGTCTTCTTTCTCTTTTAATCTTTAAAGTCAATCTATCCATTTTTGCACACTCTAAAATTTCCTGAATTCATTCTTCTTCAGTTGGTAAGTTTTCCTTTTTTCCAATGTTGGGCAAATACAATTGTTGCTGCCGTTAATATGTGTAGTATTAGATATCTGCAATCTTTCTCAGAATTAGCTCCTATTGTTCCTAACAAAAATAATTCTGGTTTAAAATCTTATTTGTTTTTTTAGTCATTTTTTCCAACCATAAATGTATTTTAACCCAAACGCTTTTTGCTTTGGGGCACGTCCACCCACATTTAGCTTTTTCAAAGTTCTGGTTGCCCTCTGTGAAGCTCTGTACCACATGGCTGTGTATATCATGAGTATCTGATTCTGATTTGTAATAGTGGCAAATACCTTGGGTGTAGGGTGAATCTTTGTCCTCCAAGCTTGTGGATGTTTCGTTACCAGGTGAAATGAGGTCTTCAGTGGAGTTTAGAGCATGGCAGTGTCGGTATGAGTGTGTCGAGTGAGTGGGTCAGTGTGAGTCATCAGTGAGTGGCTTGTGATGAGTCTTGTGGTGGAGAGGTTACATGAGGTCAGGGTCCTAGGGAGGTGAACTGCTGGTGGGGCCCTCACCCCAAGCCTCTCACTGATGACTCCCACCTGACCCATCGCAAGATCCTCACACCTGAAGCCCTTATAAGCAGAAGAACGGACACTGACGTCCCATAAGATTTTACCTAGCCTGGTAGTAAACCGTTTGGAAATCAAGACACAAGCTCGGAGAACAAATCTTCACCCTCATATGAGTCTTCTTATCTCATCATGAAGAAGGCTTGGGGAGTTATCCAACCCCTCACTTGGGAGGTCCATGGGGAGGAGACCAAACACCAAGCCTTCTTGATAATGGCCTCCACGCTTTGGAATACTCTGCTGCAGGAACCATGTCTGGTTTCAACTCTCTTCTTGCTTAAAAAAGCCCCAGATATTGTAAGAAAAGGCGTGGCAGAGCCTAGGGGGTGGAGTCAAAAAAGGAATCAGCCTAGTAGTGTCTAGTAGTCATAAATGGACCAAGCCCAGCTGCTCTTGAATTCATTAACTCTTAATAGACTAGACCAGGGGTAGGCAACCTTGGCTCTTTTATGACATGTGGACTTTAACTCCCAGAATTCCTGAGCCAGCACAGCTGGTTCAGGAATTCTGGGAGTTGAAGTCCATGAATCATAAAAGAGCCAAGGTTGCCCACCCCTGGACTAGACTAATGTCACAACTAACAGTCAGCATTATTTTGGCTCTAGAGAAGAATTAATGAAATTTAAGAGGGAGCATTTATGGGAACGTACAGACTCCAGGCTGATTCCTTGTTTGATTCCGCCCGCCAGGCTATGCCACTCTTTCTTCTCCTACAGATATTATTTTATTCTAACAGGACTTTGACTCAACAGAGCGGTTGGTCAACCATGTTTTCTTTCTGCCTGTTTTGCAGATTAAATGATAGAGAATAAACAAAATAAATGTATGTCTACCATATCTTTATTATACATTATTGATATTCATTGTTATCCATTGAAACAAGAGTAGGTATTTCAGTTTTAATTTGCTGTTGAGCCTCTTTAGAGAATTCGTATCATTTGGTTTCATCCGAAAACAACATGCCTTGCGACTGTAGCTACAATCAATAAATTCTGTGACTTCTAATTTTAGAGATAACAAATCCAAGCCAAAAGAAGCAGATTTGATCCCCGAGACCCCGGTGAAGGCTCGAAGACATTCTTGGAGGCAGCAGATCTTTTTAAGAGTGGCGACGCCACAAAAAGGATGTGATTCTTCCGGTTGGCACGAAGGTAAGATCCATTGTTAGTTAAAAGGGCTGGTTTAATGAATGCCACAAATGAAAGCTGAGCGTCTTCTGGCAGCGTTTCTTTTAGTGCAATCCACTAGAGCCAGGGGTAGGCAACCTTGGCTCTTTTATGACTCGTGGACTTCAACTCCCAGAATTCCTGAGCCAGCCACGCTGAGGGGAAAGGGAGGTTTCCAAGCTGAGCCATGCTGGCTCAGGAATTCTGGGAGTTGAAGTCCACGAGTCATGAGGGGGCCATAATTCCCCCATGCTGGCTCAAATGGTCATGGAATGGTTGTAATTCGAGGAGTGTCTGCAAGACACAATATTTCCTGCATTTTGATGTGGGTAATTCCACTAGTTCAGGGGTAGGCAACCTTGGCTCTTTTATGACCCGTGGACTTCAACTCCCAGAATTCCTGAGCCAGCATGGCTCAGTTTGGAAACCTCTCCCTTTCCCCTCAGCGTGGCTGGCTCAGGAATTCTGGGAGTTGAAGTCCATGAGTCATAAAAGAGCCAAGGTTGCCTACCCCTGCTCTAAACTAATAAAGTCTACATTAATTAACATTAATTATGCTTTCATATGTTCCTCTAGCTCAGGGGTCTTCAAACTTGGCTCTTTTGTGACTGGTGGACTTCAACTCCCAGAATTCCTGAGCCAGCCATGCGGAGGGGAAAGGGAGAGGTTTCCAAGCTGAGCCATGCTGGCTCAGGAATTCTGGGAGTTGAAGTCCACGAGTCATAAAAGAGCCCAGGTTGCCTACCCCTGAACTAGTGGAATTGCCCACATCAAAATGCAGGAAATATTGTGTCTTGTCCAGAGGCCTCCTGAAAAAAAAAAAGCACTTCTTGAGACTCAACAATGATGTGTCCTGGATGACTTGGGTCCATGTGTGTGCTGATGAGTTGTGTGCTCACTTCCACACCACGTTCAGAGCCTGTGTCTTGCCATCCCCGTGACTTTAGCTTTCACTGGGAGCCGAGTCCCTTTATTGTTGATTTATCTCCGATGGACCTGAGATCATAGCCAAACCTGCTTCTTCATTGGAAGCTCGAAAACCCTGTACACTTTGAGTGAAAGCTGTCTGTTCACAGCCAGGAGATGTTGCCTCACCCTGTCTCCGGCTTCTGATCTGTCCCTATTCCAGTTAGGTCCAGCCCAAGGTGCTCTTATTGTTTTGAGGTTGTCACAAGACAATTTTAGACTTCTGGTAGAAAGAATCCCTCTCAAACCTAATGCAGCGTTGTTGCAAGGGATTGTAAGGAAGACAACACCATCCCGTGTTGTGTTACCTTCAGAGGAGAAAAGCAACAAGAATAACAATGAAACAGCACCAGCACGGAGTAGCCAAGGCAGGAAGTCACACTGCTGTTTCACATTGCTGCTTTCTATTGCCATTTTTTTTTTTACTTCTGGCAACTGTAGAACTGTGGGAATGTTGTTGCTTTAGCTGGGAAAAAGGATCTGTGTATACAATTTTGGAGGTCAATTTTACTTTTCTTTACCCCCCCCCCCCGCAGAATACACTGAATTAAGTTTTTGCTAGTGGAGGGGGGCACGGTTTTGTGGTTTTGGCTTTCAAAATAAAAATAACTGCCTGAATACATGCACAGCTGGGCGGGAATGTCGGTTTTGAGAAGGGGAAAAAAAAGAAATATGTATTCATGGCTCAGGAGTTTTACAGTGCATATAATTTGGAGAGGGGGGCGACTGTGTTGATTTTTCAATATCCTGCGAGTCCCCTGGACTGCAAGGCGATCCAACCGGTCAGTCCTAGAGGAGATCAACCCCGACTGTTCTTTAGAAGGCCAGATCCTGAAGTTGAAACTCAAATACTTTGGCCACCTAATGAGAAGGAAGGACTCACTAGAGAAGAGCCTGATGCTGGGAAAGATGGAGGGCAAGAGAAGAAGGGGACGACAGAGAATGAGGTGGCTGGAGGGAGTCACTGAAGCAGTAGGTGTGAACTTAAATGGACTCCAGAAGATGGTAGAGGACAGGAAGGCCTGGAGGAACGTTGTCCATGGGGTCGCGATGGGTCGGACATGACTTCGCAACTAACAACAACAACTCTCTGCCTGAAATCCAAACAGAAGTGGGAAAGAAATGAGTCCGTTTCGTTGCTTTAAAGTGGAGATAATGACTTTAAACTCAGGATCGCGTTGAAATTGCAACTGTGGTACAAAAAAGAGGAGTAATAATTTAGGGAAATGGGTTGGAAGAGACTTATTTGCCTCAAAAGAGAGTCACATTATATAGGTAAATCCTCACCTTACAACATTTTGTATAGTGACGGTTCAGAAGTTTCAACGGCATTGAAAAAAGTGACCTATGACTGTTTTTCATGACAGTTGCGGCGTCCCCCGTGGTCACGTGATCAAAATTCAGACACTTGGCAACTGCTTCATATTTACGACGGTTTCAGGGTCCCGTGTGATCTCCTTTTGCGACTTTCTGAGAAGCCAAGTCAATGGGGGAAGCTGGATTCCTTGAACAATCGTGTTACTAACTCAGCTGCTGCCGTGATTCACTTAAGAACTGGGGCAAGACGAGTTGTAAAATGAGGCAAAATTCTCTTTCAAAAAAATTATTCATTTAGCAACAGAAATTTTGGGCTCAGCTGGTGTCCTAGGCTGAGGAGAAAAATCAATAGTCTAAGTAGATTGTGAAACATGATGCCTTCAGTTGGGTGATTTTGTTCCTTGTGTTTAATCACCCTTGGCCAAATAAAGCATTTGGCCAAATAAAGGTCTTCTGCAGTCACGAAGTAAGCCTAAGATTGAAAATCAGACTTGTCAGATGCTATATTTTTCCTATCCTGCTCTATGGAGTAGAGAGTTGGTCTCTGACAGAAGGACACCGGAAGAGACTGGAAGCATTTGAAATGTGGATTTACAGGCGGCTGTTACGTAGAAGCTGGGTTGACAAGATCAGAAATGAGGAGGGGATAAGCCACCTGGGAAAGCCAAGGGAAATCATCAAAACAATTAAAAAACAAAAATTAGAATATTTCGGACTTGTGATGCGACACCCAGAAAAATACGGCATACTCCGTTTAATCCTCCAGGGAAAGATTGAAGGCAAACAAGGTCCAGGCAGAAGAAGAACATTGTGACTTCAAAATCTAAGGGACTGGTTTGGACAAAACTCAGCAGCACTTTTTCGTGCGGCTGCTGATAAAAGTAGGATCGCCAACATGATCGCCAACGTCCGATAACGGATATGGCACAAGAAGAAGAAGAAATAAAGCATTCAGATTCAAATGTGTCATGTTCCTGTTTTATCTTATACCGGGGTAGGCAACATGGCTCTTTCATGACTCGTGGACTTCAACTCCCAGAATTCCTGAGCCGGCCATGCTAAGGGGAAAGGGAGAGGTTTCCATGCTTAGCCATGCTGGCTCAGGAATTCTGGGAGTTGAAGTCCACCAGTCATAAAGCGGCCTAGGTCTAGGCCAGAGGTAGGCAACCTTGGCTCTTTTATGACTCGTGGACTTTAACTCCCAGAATTCCTGAGCCAGCAATGCTGAGGGGAAAGGGAGAGGTTTCCAAGCTGAGCCATGCTGGCTGAGGAATTCTGGGAGTTGAAGTCCACAAGCCATGGGGGAGCCATAGTTCCTCCACGCTGGCTCAGGAAGTCTGGGAGTTGAAGTCCACGAGTCATAAAAGAGCCAAGCTTGCCTACCCCTGTCTTATACACTAGATGGCACTCTCCATTTTGGTAATTCCAGAAAAAATTATTGAATTATTCAGATTACCTGCCCTGAAATTGAATCAAGTTGGTGGATACCAAAATACCTCGTTCTAGCAATGGTGCAATTCTTTTTTTTTTTTTAGTTTGTTTATTGTAGTCTATCTTTTTTTTTTTTTTTTAATTTAGAGGTTTACAGGAAGAAGGTAGGAAGGAAAACACAAATGACCGTCGGAGGTCTAACATTGCCATATTGCTCGATTTGCGTGGAGAACAATTTGTGCAGTCTTTTTGCATCTCATTGCTGAGCTGAATATATTTTTCAGGGACTACTTGAAAATCCAGCCCAAATGATTTCTTAAGTTGTGTGTGCGAGCGGACTTTGTAGAAAATTCTTCACTAAACACGGAGTCCTTTAGGGTAGTTATAAAGTTCACTAAGTCAGGAAAAAAAGCTGTCAAATCTTGCATTAAAATGACTAAACTGTTTGCTTTTTCAAAAGGCGGCTGGACTTTGTTTTTCCATGAAGCTGTTTCGCTTCTCATCCAAGAAGCTTCTTCAGTTCTTCCCGTCGGAACGTGAGAAGCTTCTTGGATGAGAAGGAAAACATCTTCAAGGATAAACAAAAGTCCAGTTGCCTTTTTAAAAAAGCACCTTTGGGATAACCACGACCTGGATGACTGAGAATCTCCGTAGACACAAATATAATTGGGTCTTTGTCTAGTAGACAAAGGATCTTGTAAGATTTTCAGTTTCCCTTCCTCTTTTGATAATTATTTTCCCGAGGCTAGGATTGATCTAGGAATTCAGACAAATCTTCAAATTAAAAAAAAATGTTTTTGATTTTTTTCTCTCTCTCCTTCTCTTTATATATCTCTCTCCTCTCTCTCTCTCCTTCTTTCTCCTCTCTCTCCTTCTCTGTCTCTCTCCTCTCTCCCCATTTTATCTCTCTCTTTCTCCTCTCCTCTCTGTCTCCTTCTCTCTCCTCTCTTCCTTCTTTCTTCTCTCTCTCCTGATCTCTCCTTCTCTCTATCCTCCTTTCTCCTCTTTCCTTCTGTCTCTCTCCTCTCTCCTCCCTTTATCTCTCTCCTTCTCTCCCCTCTCTTCCTTCTTTCTCTCTCCTGCTCTCTCCTCTCTCTCCCTCTCCTCCTTTCTCCTCTCTCCTTCTCTCTCTCTCCTCTCTCCCCATTTTATCTCTCTTTCTCCTCGCTCTCCTCTCCTTCTCTCTCCTTTCTTCCTTCTTTCTTCTCTCTCTCCTGATCTCTCCTTTTCTCTCTCCTCCTTTCTCCTCTTTCCTTCTCTCTCTCTCTTCTCTCCTCCCTTTATCTCTCTCTCTCCTTCTCTCTCTCCTTCTCTCCCCTCTCTTCCTTCTTTCTCTCTCCTGTTCTCTCCTTCTCTCCTCTCTCTCTCTCCTTCTCTGTCTCTCTCCTCTCTCCCCCCTTTTATCTCTCTCTCCTCTCCCCTCTCTTCCTTCTTTCTCTCTCTCTGCTTCTCTCCTCTCTCTCTCTCCTTCTCTCTCCTCTCTTCCTTCTTTCTCTCTCCTGCTCTCTCCTCTCCTCTCTCTCTCTCCTCCTTTCTCCTCTGTCTCTCTCTCCCCTTTTATCTCTCTCTCCTCTCTCTCTCCTCTCTTCCTTCTTTCTCCTCTCTCTCTCTCTTTTCTTTCTCTTCTTCTCTCTCCCCCCCTCTCTCTTTTGGTCTAATAAGATTATTCTGAACTGGGAGAATTGCCACCTCGATCACCGTTGCTGCCAGTTTGTGAAGACGGTCCCTTCGGCGCCACAAAAGAAGATAGAAAAAGGACACCCAAGGAGTTGCGGGAACTTTGGCAAAAAGCCATTCTCCAACAGATACTCCTCCTTCGGATGGAAAAGGAAAACCGGAAACTGCAAGGTAACCACCAAATATCTCCGGGAAATTCTATATTTGGGGTGTTTGTCCCAAAGACGCCAAATTAGCCACTTGAAGATAGTGTGTTGTGTACTGCCTGCCGTGCTTGTTATCCTACTTCCTGTACTTTACCCATCCTGAGTTTATTTTATCTCGATAGACACTTTGTTTATTTTACAAAACGGCAGCTTTTAAGTCCTGTTCCTGGAAGTGCTGATAAGGAGCCCAGATTCTTGTCTCCTTTGAAGCCGGCATCCAGTAGAGCTGGATTCACTTCTTTAACTTCAAAGATATTGTCACCTTCACGCCTCTTTACCGTCTCATTTAGCTTATTTTTTGAAACCCTTCTCTCTTCAAGCAATGGTCCTTGAATCTGTCTCTGAGCAAATGTGCCTCCAGATAGATTCCATGGGAGAAGCCACAATAAACTTGAGCTTTCTTCTAGTCCAGTTCAGCTTCTAACAACCACAGGATACTTCCATGTTATTGTACACAGGACAATAAGAATGTGTGTCAGCTTGTCGGAGAACAGTGTCAGGCCAACTGGCCAGGTGAGCAGAAGATCGGAGGGAGGAAAAGATAGGGGGGGGGGAGAGGGAGAGAGAGAGAGAGAATTCATGCACAGCAGCCTCTATTTCTTTTTAATTAAACTCTTCAATGAAGCTCTCTCTTCGGCGCGCGCGTGTGCGTGCACAAGTTTTACAGCTCCCAGTGTTTTCTGCAGGAAATGGGTCAAAGTAGCTCTTTGAATGTTTAAGGTTGCTGACCCCTGCTCTAGTCTTTGCAAGATCTTGGATTCTTCTCTTAGTTGTGATAGAGTTAAATTTTATGACTTTGATGTGGCTATAACATGTCTTCCTCAGGATCCAGTGTTAATTACCCATCAAGAATTTGTTTTATTGTACACAGGACGGGTTCGTTCCCCTCCCCCGTAGTCTACATCCTTGGGATGTCCTGGTGTCATCTATCCAAGTACTAAGTAGGATTCTGTCTTGCTTTGTGTGGTCCTTGATGCTTTATGAGCTTGGCTGCTTTCTGGCAAACATTTCATTCCTCAACTCGGTAACATAATGGGATGTTGGATTGCCCAACTAGGTAGCATGTCGTCAGTGCACTGAGGACGTTACCTAGTTGGATGATGAAATGTCTGCAAGAAAACAACCAAGCTCAGAGAGCACCAAGGACCCTTCATTTCAACAGACAGACAGACAGACAGACAATAGATAGATATGATTAGATAGAACAGATAAATAGATAGACCGACAGATATAGATATATGTTAGAAGATAGATAGATAGATAGATAGATAGATAGATAGATAGATAGATAGAGATATATGTTAGAAGATAGATAGACAGTGATGATTAGATTGAATAGATAGATGGCAGATAGATAGATAGATAGATAGATAGATAGATAGATAGATAGATAGATAGATATGATTAGATAGACAGACAAACAGATATAGATAGATATATGTTAGAAGATAGACAAACTGATGATTAGTTTGAATAGATAGATAATGAGATAGATAGATAGATAGATAGATAGATAGATAGATAGATATGATTAGATAGAACAGACAGACAGATATAGATAGATGTTAGTAGATAGAGATATATATGTTAGAAGATAGACTGATGATTAGATTGAATAGATGGCTAGATAGATAGATAGATAGATAGATAGATAGATAGATAGATAGATGTTAGAAGATAGATAGATAGAGATAGATATATGTTAGAAGATAGACAGTGATGATTAGATTGGATAGATAGATAGATAGATAGATATGATTAGATAGACAGACAGATAGATATAGATAGATATATGTTAGAAGATAGACAAACTGATGATTAGATTGAATAGATAGATAATGATAGATAGATAGATAGATAGATATGATTAGATAGAACAGACAGACAGATATAGATAGATGTTAGAAGATAGATAGAGATATATATGTTAGAAGATAGACAGTGATGATTAGATTGAATAGATGGCTAGATAGATAGATATAGATAGATGTTAGAAGATAGATAGATAGAGATAGATATATTAGAAGATACATAGACAGTGATGATTAGATTGAATAGATGGATGGATGGATAGATAGATAGATAGATAGACAGACAGACAGACAGACATAGATATATGTTAGAAGATAGATAGACAGACAGTGATGATTAGATTGTATAGATAGATGATATAGATAGATAGATATGATTAGATAGAACAGATACACAGACAGATAGATTTAGATAGATAGATAGACCGTGATGATTAGATTGAATAGATAGCAATTTGATCCTAACTGATTCAAGGTTGACTCAGCCTTCCATCCTTCTGAGGTCGGAAAAATGAGGACCCAGATTGTTGGGGGGCAGAAGGCTGACTCTATAAACCGCTTAGAGAGGGCCGTAAAGCACTGTGAAGTGGTATAGAAGTCTAAGCGCTCTCGCTATCTTGCAGAAAATTTGTTAGCGGCCTTCCGCGAAGGCGCCTGGCTTTAACCCGTTCCCTTTTTTTTCTCTCCTCTAGCTTCTGAAAACAATCTACTCAATAAACGCCTGAAGCTTGATTACGAAGAAGTCACCCCGTGCCTCAAAGAAGTAATGTCCGTCTGGGATAAAATGCTGACCACACCAGGAAGATCGAAGGTGAAGTTTGACATGGACAAAATACACACTGCTGTTGAGAAAGGTGAGTGAATCTGATTCCTGAGGGACACAGATATGTTGGCAGTTTGGAAAGTGAAGTATTATCTTTTGAAACAGATGCAAGAATCGTTTATAAGACTATAGCATGACGTCAAATAAATTGCATCATGTGCAGCGGTTTGAACTTTTGATTATAATATTACTGGAATAAAATTAAGAGTTATGATGTTAGTTATGGGCAGAACAATTTAAAGAGACATTTTCAGGGGGAAAAAAAGTTTCCTGTGGATTCAATACTTTGCTCTAACTCTCAGTTTATAGATCTTTTCTATCTTGTTTTTATGAGTTGGTAGTTCCTTGATGGGGGTATTGTTTACTTCTTGATTGTTGTTGAAGTGTTACTCTTGGTGTTAATCTCTGCTTATCTGGCACATAGAGGCACACAGAGATAAACAACATCCACTAATCGTTCAAAAGAGGCAACTCAAAAAACCCCCCCAAAATAAAACAGAAAGACCAAAACGTCTCCTCGATGCTAATCAATACCCAATTAAACAGAGATTAACACCAAGATTAATGCTGGACCCACAACCAAGAAGTAAGCAATACCCCAATCAAGCAGCTTACCAACTCAGACAAGCAATAAACAACAACCTACTCTAGGAACCACCAAGAAGACTCCCATCAACTCTGACAGGGCATGCCACATGTGAATAAACAAAGATCAAACCCCACTCCCTTCTGGTACTGATGATGTTCCCTAGTTGGGTAGTGAAATGTCTGCAAGAAAATCACCAAGCTCAGAGAGCACCAAGGATCCCACAGTCCTCCTCTCACTCCTGCTCCTGCTCCTCTGTGCAAACCCCCATTTGTTCTCTCCTCCTCCTTCTCCTCTATACAAACCCCCACTCCCTTTCAGTATTGATATTGTTCTCTAGTTGGGTGATGAAACGTCTGCAAGAAAATTACCAAGCTCAAAGAGCACCAAGGACTCCACAGTTCTCCTCCTCCTCCTTCTCCTCCTCCTCTCTGCAAACCCCCCTCCCTTCTAGCACTAATGATGTTCCTTAGTTGGGTAATGACACGTCTGCAAGAAAACAAGCAAGCTCAGAAAGCACCAAGGACCCCACAGTCCTCCTCCTCCTCTCTGCAGACCCCCCTCCCTTCTAGCACTGATGATGTTACCTAGTTAGGTCATGAAACATCTGCGAGAAAGCCAGTCAGCTCAGAGAGCACAAGAGCCATATTCCTCTCCTTTTGCTCCTTGCTGATGGCATTAGCTCACCTCCAGGATAAATGAGCTTATCCTAGCAGCATTGCAAGGTTCTTCCAGAAGGACATCCCCCTTGCGTGGAATGATTTCTTTTTAAAGCAGGAAGCTTGTAAATACCAAGTACCGTAGTGTGTGTGTGTGTGTGTGTGTGTTGGCGCCTAGTCTCATTCCCTGCTGTTCTTTCTTTCACTCTTAAAATCTTTTTTGAAAAGGAGTCCCTCGGCAACAACGGGGAGAGATATGGAAATTTCTAGCAGAGCTGCACCAACTCAAGCACCCATTTCCAAATAAGCAACAGCCGAAAGACACCCCTTACAAAGAGCTCTTGAAACAGCTGACTTCCCAGCAGCATGCCATTCTGATTGATTTGGGTAAGTCTGCCCGCAAGCAACTCCGATATTAAACTCGGAAGGTTATGCATTTGCAAAGGCGTTTTACGTATGACTAGACGGTGGTATATATGGAAGGAATGTCTTGGTGGCCAACGGCCTTCAGCACCTAAAATCTTCTATATATGGTCCTCCACTTAAAAACCCTTTATTTACTACCATATATTCCGGCGTATAGGGCGACCCGGCGTATAAAACGACCCCCTAGTTCGACGCAAAGTTGCAAGACGATCGACGCCAAGTCGCATGCCTAGAAAGTCGTCTTATACGCTGGAAACTACCGGTATTTCCAACGTATAAGACGATCGACGCCGAGTCGCATGCCTAGAAAGTCGTCTTATATGCCGGAAACTACGTTATTTCTGGCATATAAGATGATCGATGCCGAGTCGCAGGCCTAGAAAGTCATCTTATACGCCGGAAATTACCGGTATTTCCAGCGTATAAGACAATCGACGCCGAGTCGCATGCCTAGAAAGTCATCTTATACGCCGGAAACTACTGGTATTTCCGGCGTATAAGACGATCGACGCCGAGTCGCATGCCTAGAAAGTCGTCTTATACGCTGGAAACTACGTTATTTCCGGCGTATAAGACGATCGACGCCGAGTCGCATGCCTAGAAAGTCGTCTTATACGCCAGAAACTACCTTATTTCCGGCGTATAAGACGACTCAGCGTATAAGACGACTCAGCGTATAAGACGACCCCCGACTTCAGCGCCGATTCTGGCGTATAAGATGACTTGCGAAAGTCATCTTATACGCCAGAATATACAGTATTTGAAGTTACCGAAAAAAGTAAGTTATTCTGGGTTTTCACGCTTACGACCGTTGCAGTATCCCCATGGTCACGTGATCAAAATTCAGACGATTGACATATATTTACAGTACTGCCCAAAATTGTGGCACCCTTTTGGGAAAAGTGTACCGTAGAAATGCCACCTATGGTTACGTTTCCACCCATTTTTCTTCTCATTTCTTTATAACTGTAGCCTTGTTCACTTAACAAGACTATTTTACGTCAACTCTTTGCACCATGACTTTAATTTTATTACGTTTTACAAGCTCACTAAATGAAAGGACACAAAAACCCCCAACTGACTTGATAGCGATCATGTAACACACTGACAAACGTCCTCCTCTCAGCTTCAATACAGGACATCAATCACTGAATCCTCCTGTGATCTGATTGGCTCCTTGCCAAAACAAGATGACACCCGATTGGCTCTCTAAACACTCCTGCTCATTGGCTACAATCAGATGAAGGAAAGCTACCTGAGATCCACCTAAGCAAGTTGGGCTTCCTTTTTCTGGTGATTTGGCTGTAACTTTTCATAGAATACAGAACAGATCATTGAACAAACTCTGTTGCATGACATTCTTTTTTTTTTTTTTTTTTGTAAAAGATTTTTTATTTTCAATTTTTCATTACATTCATAAAAGAATACTTCAGATAAAGAATAAAGTAAATTTATACAGACAACTTTCGGTATTGCTCACCCATTTCCCCCCAAACCGCATCCACCCTCTAATCTCTTCTCTCACTTCCCTCTTTCCCTCTTCTTCCTCACTCTCCCCCTCTCCTCCTTCTCCTCAACCTTCCTACTTACTTCTCCCCTTCCTCCTATCTTCTCACTCCGGATGCAGTCCAGGGGAAATGCCCGAGCAATTCCTCTCTCCAAGTTAAAACATCAATATTATATACAAAAAAACCCCAAAACTATTTCTACTTATCTGACCTATTTAACCTCCAACCCATCCTCCCCCCCGCCCCCATCCCCCCTCCCCCCTCCCCCCCCAGCTTCCCAGAGCCAAGTACAGGGTTATACAAACATATTAAACATAATCTACTTAAGTTTACTAATTATACAATAACCAAAATCTTACTAACCCTTAACTCTCTTCAAACTTTAACATCATAAGTTTATAAACAAATTCATTACTCATAAAATAAATGAAACTTTGTAGTTCCATACTTCTTCTGAACATATTCTATCCATCTTCTCCATACATTGAAATATCTCTCTTGTGAATGGTCCTTTAAATAAGCAGAAATTTTGGCCATTTCTGCTAAATTAGAAACCTTAAATACCCATTCTTCTAAAGAAGGCAGAGTATCCTTCTTCCAATATTGACCCACCAATAATCTTGCTGCTGTTATTAAATTCAACATTAAAATAGTTTCTTTAGCATCAAAATCCACAAAAATACCCCAATGAAATAATTGGGGAGAAAAGTTAATCTTCCTCTTAAAAACCTTTTGAATGTTCCACCAAATCATAATCCAAAAGACTTTAATATTTTTACAAGTCCACCGAACATGAAAATAAGTTGCATTCAAGCTACCACATCTCCAACATTTAGGTTGCAGGTTCAGGTACATACAAGACAACTTTTTACGATCCAGATGCCATCTATAAAACATTTTATAAAAATTTTCCCTCAAATTTTGAGCCTGCGTAAATTTAACATTTCTAATCCAAATTAACTCCCACAAATCTAATAAAATCGGTTCCTGAATATTCTGAGCCCATTTAATCATACAATCTTTTACTAGCTCTGTTTCCGAATCCAATTTTATCCATTTCTGGATAATGTAATCCATTTCTGCATTACATTCTTGATTAAATTATCTTTCCATTGATATATAATTTTATGTTACTATTCCAATTCTATTCTATTCCATTCCTGTATTCTATTTTATTCTATTCTATGAATTGTGTTTTTGTTTTGTTTTTTTAATATTTGGAAAGTGTTTGTATGACAGTATGGCCTTCTCTTTCTTCCTCTTTCCCATAGGACGCACTTTCCCGACACATCCCTACTTCTCAGCCCAGCTTGGAGCTGGACAGCTCTCTCTCTACAATATCTTGAAGGCGTATTCCCTCCTGGATCAGGAAGTAAGCTATTGTCAAGGCCTCAGTTTTGTGGCAGGGGTGTTGTTGCTGCACATGAGCGAAGAAGAAGCCTTCAACATGCTGAAGTTCCTGATGTTCGATATGGGCCTTAGGAAGCAATATCGACCCATGACGATTGTACAGGTCAGAAGATTCATTAGGTTTATTTAGTTTTGTATTAATAGGTGAACTCTGTATTCCATTTCTACGGGAACATCAATAGAGTGGAGTGGAGTGGAGTGGAGTGGAGTGGAGTGGAGTAGAGTAGAAGGAATGTAGAATAGAATAGAGTAGAGTGGAAGGAATGTAGAATAGAATAGAGTAGAGTAGAGTAGAAGGAATGTAGAATAGAGTAGAGTAGAAGGAATGTAGAATAAAAGAGAGTAGAATAGAATAGAATAGAATAGAATAGAATAGAATAGTAGAATAGAATAGAATAGAATAGAATAGAATAGAATAGAATAGAATAGAATAGAATAGAATAGAATTAAGGAATAGAATAGAATAGAATAGAATAGAATAGAATAGAATAGAATAGAATAGAATAGAATAGAATTAAGGAATAGAATAGAACAGAACAGAACAGAATAGAATAGAAATAAGGAATAGAATAGAATAGAATAGAATAGAATAGAATAGAATAGAATAGAATAGAATAGAATAGAATAGAATAGAACAGAACAGAATAGAATAGAATAGAATTAAGGAATAGAATAGAACAGAACAGAATAGAATAGAATAGAAATAAGGAATAGAATAGAATAGAATAGAATTAAGGAATAGAATAGAATAGAATAGAATAGAATTAAGGAATAGAATAGAACAGAACAGAATAGAATAGAAATAAGGAATAGAATAGAATAGAATAGAATAGAATAGAATAGAATAGAATAGAATAGAATAGAATTAAGGAATAGAATGGAATAGAATAGAATAGAATTAAGGAATAGAATAGAACAGAACAGAATAGAATAGAATAGAATTAAGGAATAGAATAGAACAGAACAGAATAGAATAGAATAGAAATAAGGAATAGAATAGAATAGAATAGAATAGAATAGAATAGAATAGAATAGGTGTAGCTGCTTTAAGAAGATAAAATTAATATAAGACCAGGTTTTATATTATATTAATTTTTGCGCATTAGGGCTTATTTTCCAGTTAGGTCTTATATTTAGGGAAATACGGTACTAAATGCATCCTTCTGGCTGAAAATCTTAACTGGGGCTTATTTTGGGAATGGGGGCTCATATTATGAGCATCCTAAAAAATCATGCTAGGGCTTATTTTCTGGTTGGGTCTTATTTTGAGCAAAGTCCGGTAGCAGTTGTCCCCATCTCTCTTCCAAAGCAACTTTTCCACTTTGGACCCAAATCGCTGAACATCCCAACTGCGTAAACACCGCCCTCAATCCACCACTAACGATTACAGTGTAAATTGTCCTAACTGTATATTTTCTTCTCTTTTTTAAAAAATTTGCTTCGCAGATCCAGATGTATCAGCTTTCTCGACTGCTTCACGATTACCACAAAGATCTTTACAACCACTTTGAAGCCAATGAGATTAGCCCCAGCCTCTACGCTGCCCCTTGGTTTCTGACCGTGTTCGCTTCTCAGTTTCCCCTGGGATTTGTCGCCCGGGTGTTTGGTAAGTCATCCGAATGCCTAAGGATGTTTGAAGCTTGAATATTTTGGCCACCTAATGAGAAGAGGGGCGGCTTGTTGGGAACGTTCCTGATCTTGGGGAAAAAAAATGAAGGCAATAGGAGAAAGCGGTGAGAGAGAACAAGAAAATCCTGCTGGTGATGTTGGTTGTTATTGTTAGTTGCGAAGTCGTGTCCGACTCATCGTGACCCCATGGACAATGTTCCTCCAGGCCTTCCTGTCCTCTCCCATCTTCTGGGGTCCATTTAAGCTCACACCTACTGCTTCAGTGACTCCATCCAGCCACCTCCTTCTCTGTCATCCCATTGTTCTGTTGCCCTCAATCTTTCCCAGCATTAGGCCCTTCTCCAGTGAGTCCTTCCTTCTCATTAGGTGGCCAAAGTACTTGAGTTTCAACTTCAGGATCTGGCCTTCTAAAGAGCAGTCAGGGTTGATCTCCTCTAGGACTGACCGGTTTGATCGCCTTCCAGTCCAGGGGACTCGCAGGAGTCTTCTCCAGCACCAGAGTTCAAAGGCCTCAATTCTTTGGCGCTCAGTCTTTCTTATGGTCCAGCTTTCACAGCCATACATAGCAACTGGGAAAACCATGGTCTTGGCTATACGCACTTTTGTTGGCAGGGTGACGTCTCTACTTTTTAGTATGCTGTCTAGATTTGCCATAGCTTTCCTTCCCAGCAGCAAGCATCTTTTAATTTCTCGGCTGCAGTCCCCATCTGCGGTGATGTTATACCAGCATAAACTTATTGAGACCTGATATTCCACCAAAGGAGCAGTTAACAAACATAGTGATTTAGAACAGGCATCCCCAACCCCCGGGCTGTGGACCAGTTATTGGGCCGTGGCATGCCAACAACCGGTCCACACAAAATAAGCCCCATCCGTGGAATGCAGGCAACACACAAAACCACGCACCCTCCGGTCCGTGGAAAAACCTCTCTCCATGGAACCAGTCCCTGGTGCCCAAAAGGTTGTGGACCTCTGTCTTAGGCTAACAATTTTTGAATCACCAAACCTCAAATGGGCTAAGTTACAGAATGCATCCAAACTCTGAGACCCACAACTCCTGTGGGATTTAAATTTGGCAAAGCTGGGGCCACTTCAGCGCCGCTGCACCGTAGTCACAGTGTGCCACCACACTATGCTCCCGCGATTGTTAAATTTCCAGCGCTACCTAGCAGTTTTCTACAAGGGAAGTCATTGGAGAAGCCTGTTGGAAATGCAAAGTTCTTCCTGCTCCGCTGCTTTTGGGCTCACCTCTGGTCGTTCTGTTGTCTCTGTTTTGGTAAAGAAATATCTCTGGAACGAGGACCGGACAGGTCCCAGGTTGTCCAGTTGTAGCTTTCACTAAAGAATAAACGAGCAGAAACGTCAGGTAAACAAACAGAATCATCATCTTCCAACTTTCTTCCTAACGTTTCTCCTCTCCTTCTCCAGATATGATGTTTCTCCAAGGATCAGAAGTTATAGTTAAAGTGGCTCTGAGCCTTTTGGGGAGCCATAAGCTTTTGATTCTGCAACATGAAAACCTGGAAACGATCGTTGACTTCATTAAAAATATTCTCCCCAATCTAGGCTTGGTACAGATGGAAAAAATCATTAACCAGGTATGACGTGGCGTATCGCCAGGGAAAGTAGAAGCTGCAAAATTGAGAACAACTTCCCTGTGTAATTGATACCAGCCGAACTGCAGTTTATTTGGGCCGTTAAGAGGCTGGAATTTCCTTATGCAGAATTAACGTATTCCCAAACAATAGCCCGATCTGTTTTAAGATGTCTTATGTAATGGGGAGGCTATATCCCCGACTGCTTCTTCCTGTTTTACTTGGCACGGAGTAAAGCTTTAGATGCTTCCCTTCTGCAGAAATTAGTCTGACTACCCTAAGAAACACAACGCAATATGTTGTGCGCGTTAAAAAAAAAAAAAAGCAAATTTAACACAGAACGGCCTAGACTTTTTAATGCAAAATCGTTGTGGAAGAGTAAAAACTACGGGGAGATGTATCGCAGGATATATCAAAGAGTAAAACTCAATCCTCTTAATTTTTATTTTTATTTTTTAAATTGGATTTAAATCAGTGTGTCAACATTGCAGCTACAGGATAAATCTTCGTTCCGATTTGCAGCGCTTCGGATTTGAAGGCAAGCTGCTGCTTTAGAACAGTTGTTCCCTTAGGACAGTAGTTCTCAACCTATGGGTCGGGACCCCATTTGGGGTCGAACGACTATTTCACGGGGGTCGCCAAACAACGCAGTCTGCCATTTTTTCCCCTTTTCCTTAGCTGTGCTACTCCCTTTTATTCTATTGGCTTTCGAAAGCCAATAGAATAGACTCTCTTGAATAGAGTCTAATTCTATTGGCTTTCAAAAGCCAATAGGAATTGTCCAGGCTGCCTCTGCCCTGCTGAGCCCGCCAAAAGTCCCATTCTGCAAACGGTGCTGCACCAGTTGAGTAGTCCTCGACTTACGACCGGTTGAGTAGTCCTCGACTTACAACCGGTTGGGGAGGTCACGGCATTAAAAAGGTTGAGAACCACTGCCTTAGGATCGCTCCACGAGATGGATTATTGGAAATAAATGGATTTTTTTTTTTCATGATTAGAATTGACATCGCTTGCTAGGAGCTAAGAGCTCTTATCATGCAGACCAAACGCTTTTTTTTTTTTCTTTGATACTTTAAAATTCTAAACGTTGGCTTGCTTTTTTACGAGGCAAATCCATGGAGTTTTTCTGTTTATTTTTTCCCTTCCCATGGCAGGTATTTGAGATGGATATCTCCAAACAGCTGCAAGCTTATGAAGTGGAATACCATGTGCTTCAGGACGAATTAACAGATTCTTCTCTCAATGACAATCAAAGGATGGATAAACTGGAGAAAGCCAACAGTGGTTTACGGAAGCAGAACTTTGATCTTCTGGAGGAGCTGCAGGTATGGACTGCAATTTATGCATTATGTGTTAAACGAGTCATTAAGCAAGTAAAGAGATACTCGTGTTTATTTCTGCCGGATGCAATCAACAATGAATACATTTCCCTTGGTCAAAAATTAATTTGAACAAATCTTATGGGATAGCCATAAGATTTCACACACAAAAAATTCAAAGTGATGTTCCTGATTTAAGATCTAAAGGGTTTTACACGCCTGGAGCCACCAGTGTATAAACAGCAAAAAACCTCACACTCCCTTCTAATACTGATGATGTCGCTTAGCTGGGTAATGAGATGTCTGCAAGAAAACAAGCAAGCTGAGAGAGCACCAAGAATTAATACTATTAAGATCCCGTTGTCCATTAGACTTGTTTTTATGATTATTGTCAAATTTATTGCCACCCATCTCACAGTTCAAGACGATCATTTTATATATATTTTTACAGCTTTTAAATGTTTTTAATATTTTTTAATATTAGGAGTCTTCTCAAGCACCAGAGTTCAAAGGCCTCCATTCTTTGGCGCTCAGCCTTTCTTATGGTCCAACTTTCACATTGCAACTGGGAAAACCATGGCCTTGCCTATACGTACTTTTGTTGGCAGGGTGATGTCTCTGCTTTTTAGAATGCTGTCTAGATTTGCCATAGCTTTCCTCCCCAGGAGCAAGCGTCTTTTAATTTCTTGGCTGCAGTCCCCATCTGTGATGATCTTGGAGCCCAGGAAGATAAAATCTGTCATTACCTCCATTTCTTCCTCATCTATTTGCCAGGAATTGAGAGGGCCGGATGCCATGATCTTGGTTTTCTTAATGTTGAATTTCTAATTTTGAAAACCCAAGTTTTCGCACCCCTTGGAATATTGTCTCATACCCCCACGGGGTGCGAGCACCCCTGGCTGGGAACCCCTGCTGTAGACGTTATAACAATGTACTGCAAAAGGAAGCCCAACCCATTCACTTGTTCTGGAACAAGGTAGAAATCCCAACTCCGAATGGAATTTAGATACGCCCATTAGAAAGGCCCTTTAAAATTGTATTTTTAATTCCATCTTTACTCTGCATGTAAGTGCCAGCCCTGAATCAGGTGTGGTTTCATGTGACATGGGTGGAAATCTGTTTAGCCGTCAACCCCAACATCTGTGGTCCTTGACCACGTCCATCAGGGCTGGCGGCTAAAAATTTGACGAGGAGGCCCCCGTGGGTTACTGCTGTGGATATATTCTTCCGTTATCCTCAATATCCTTGTTTCCTGATTATTCTTTCAAGGTGGCTAATAGGAAGATCCACAACCTAGAAGTGATGGTGGAGGCTCTGCTTCACAACGAAGGCAAATTGAAGGAGACCGTCCTCCGTCTGGAACGGGAGAGGAAAACGTTGTTAGAAACTCTACAGGAATTCCACACGCAGCCAGCAAACCCCAGTGGAAAAACTCTTTCCTCCAAGCAAGAACGTAGAGACGCCGCTAACTGAGCATTGAAGGCTCCACGTAGGAGGAGAAAAAAAAGGGAGACCTCTTTTCTTATGCAGCTCTTAGAATTTTTCGTACCGTCCTTTTCCTTCGTCTTCCTTTTCCGATCACGTTGCACAAAGGAGAAACGTGTCACAGTGCTTGGGTGGAAGAATCCTACCTGTCTACGTCCCACAGTTGTTCAAACAGTACACAATCCGGAGTGCAAGCAGAACGGTCTTTAAGCTTTACTATTATCTGACACATTTCCACCTGGTTGTAAACGTCTGGGCTCGTTTACCCTACACAGTACTGCTTTTCGTTCTACGAGTTTCATCAAATTTACGCAGGAAGCAATTGGGGAAATTTCCAGGCTAAACCTCACGGTCTGCACACTTCTCAAGGAATTTTCATTTTAGGAGCATGCTGGAGTGATTTATTTCCCATTCAAGGGGTTAACGTGTGTTCATTTATGGTGCAATTATTTCCTCCAAAGCAGAAAATGGGTTCTACTTATTCACCTTGTGTTTTTAAAACTTACCCGCGGGGACACTGACATCATGAATTGCAAGAAGCCAAATGTCATCCTATAATTTTGGGGAACTATTCTTTCTGCTTGCCAATGGGATAAATATGGATTTTTGTTCCTTTTAATCTGGTTGTAGCATAGTTGAATGCTTTAATATCTTTCCCTTCTGTCTCTATGGGCAGAATCTGAAGCTGTCATATCATTATCATTGATTATGCCTTGAAATGTTACTTTATTTATTTTTTCAACCATTGTGCTATAAGCTTTTGTTTTTTGAATGCAAAGCTAGTCTTTCCCCATTTTAATTCCAGGAGCTCAGTCAGATATCAAGCAGCTTCAAACATCACTTTTAAAAATTCCGGAGCCACTTATTTAAATGAAAGAACTAAGATACCCCTATACATGTTGCACTTAGAAGCAATTTATGGTCTTAAAACGGTTTTATAAAAAAAAATAGTTGTATTATTTTTCATTAGGCGTGCAGGCATTGTTGTGCATTGAATATATATATATATATTCTGTCTGTTGAATATTGGAATAGTTAAAAGACTTCAGGTATTCTGCAAACAGTCTAGGATTCATCACTGCTCAGTCAAAATTTTAATCAGAAAGGTTGGTTAAGGTCACATTTGCCTGTTTTCAAACTGGTTTGCAGGTTGGCGATTTTAAAAGTTTTAAATTAGTCACATAAGGATGATGAGACTCATTGAGTGGGTTTTCCACGGAGGGAAATAGATCTGTACTTCTAGGTGTATCTGCCCTACAAATGTAACTTGATTTAATTACTATTTCATCCTGGGGGGGGGGGAGAAAGAGTTCCATTTTTAGGAGAGCGTGACTGTCTCTGAAAGATAATTTTAAATATCCTTGTCAAATTAATTCATTTGACCCTCGAAAGAAAAGCAGAACAAAGTAGCAGGCCTCCCCCACCTGATGTAGTGTGGTTATTTCTTAAATGAGAGTTGACTGCATTAAATAACCAATGTTCTTTGTTTCTAAAAGTTAACACTGGCTCCTTGGAAATAACAGTTGCAAAGTCACCACAGGGTTTTGCATTGATAAATATTTGGTCATGACAATCTATTGACTTTGCTGCTATTTGGTTTGGTGTTAAGCATCATCTCCCCCACGTTTGTATCTCTGTTTTTCCATAATTATTTCATACTGCCAGCATCAGATATTTACTGCCATATCTATATACTGTTTGTGTGCCCAACTACATTGGATTTGGACAGAGATTTGCCCATCTATAAGTTTTTTTTTAACACTTAAAAAAAGCAATAAATGCCAAATTCATGGGAGATGCTCCAAAAATCCAGAAAAATTGCTTCTCTTCCTCTTTCTCTTTTCTCTTCTGGGCTTCTTAAACATAAATTTAGCACTCTACAGGTTTCAATATGGGTTGATGTATACACACACACACACATACAAACATATATAAATATAATATACATTTTTACACACACACATACACACTCACACACACATATTTGTGAGATTTTCACAGGTGTTTGTATGTAGGTCTTTGGTTATTCGGGTTTTCTCCCGTGTCAAATTATAAGTGTCTTGGCGACGTTTCGACAAAGTCTCATTCATCATCTTCAGGCTGGTGTTTTTGGCTTTGTGCTTCTAGGAGCACGAAGCCGAAAACACCAGCCTGAAGATGACGAATGGGACTTCGTCGAAACGTCGCCAAGACACTTCCAATTTGATGTGGGAGAAAACCCGAATAACCAAAGACCTACATATTAAAAAAATGTGTGTGTGTATGTATGTATGTGTATGTATGTATGTATGTATGTGTATATATACATACATACATACATACATACATATATATATATATATATATATATATATATATATATATATATATATATACACACATACATATCTTTTTGCTGACAAAGTTAAAGATTTAAGATTTTTATCAGCAAAAAGAAATCTAATTGGGGGGCTGCAAGGCAAAAGAGATTATAAAAAAAGTAGAACTGCAGTATAGCAGTCAAAATGCCAAGGTGTAATCAGTCAGACTGGCCTGTCTGGTCTACCAAATATAAATCGATTGTTCTGTGTTTTGCTCCAGTCAAATCCCTGAAGGGTGTGACCAACTGATGAGGGCAAATGAGCCTGAAATAGCTATACTAGTCTCCCACTAACTCTTTGTCAGCCACAAAATTTTGAACACACACACACACATACATACACGGCCGAGAGGTTAATACAGCTGTCTAACATACAAGCGCCTGGGTTCGCATCTCAGAAGGGTATGGCTAGCTGATGAGAGCTAAATAGCTCAAAATAGCTATACTAGTCTCCTTTTAATTCTTTGTCAGCAAAATCTAAATATACACACATATATATTCAAAAAAAATTTTTGTGACTGACAAAGAATTACACACATATACACGCACACACACACACACACACACACACACATGCAATGCTTTCTTCTGCCCATTCCCAAAATTAAGTGTTTTGAGTTTAATCCTCTCTGAGAAACTGAACAGCTAGAAAATATTCTCTAGTTTGCAGACACAGCCTACCTGGCTTGTGCCAGTTCCCCAGATTTATTCACAGAACTTTTTGTCACATGATTGAGTGGGTCTGATTTCTCCCACCTGCAGAGTCTCTCATCAATTTTAGCACACAACCTCCTGTTTGAACAAATGCCTTATTTTCCCCAAGGGATGTTATCATCGCTGGCACTCCGGAAGCTTGTCTAAGTGGGAAGATTGCCCAGGCTTCCTCACAGGTGCGTGAATGCCGAGAAGAGATTTTCATCTTGAGCTTTCCGAGAAAGGCAATTTAATTGCTGCCGGTGTGCAGTCTCGGGTTTTTTTTTTGTGGGTTTTGTGGTTTTTTTTTTTTTTTTTAATAGCTGAAGAATTTTTGCACAAAATGCAAGACCCCATTGCACGGTTTTGCCTCTTTCAGCTGCTTTGCAGTCCAATTTTCTATTCCGGAGAGAGTTCTTTAAAAAATCGAACTGACCAAGGTTGAAAACTTCTGCCAGCGTCTGTTAATGATATGTTACGAGGTTTTTTTTCTTTTTTTTTTTAAAGAAGACAGGCCTTCTAGATCTGCGTTGCAAAAATGCGGACAGTCAGCAGATGGCAACCAGCAATTTTCTGTATCTCTTTTCAACCATTTAGTTCTCATCCAGAGGTTTGCAATCCAGACCTATTGGATTATAGCAGTGGTTCTCAACCTTTTTAATGCCGCGACCCCCCAATCGGTTGTAAGTCGAGGACTACTCAACTGGTGCAGCACCGTTTGCAGAATGGGACTTTTGGCGGGCTCAGCAGGGCAGAGACAGCCTGAGCAATTCCTATTGGCTTTTGAAAGCCAATAGAATTAGACTCAATTCAAGAGAGTCTATTCTATTGGCTTTCAAAAGCCCATAGAATAAAAGGGAGGAGCACAGCTAAGGAAAAGGGGGAAAAAATGGCGGACTGCGTTGTTTGGCGACCCCCGTGAAATGGTTGTTCGACCCCAAATGGGGTCCCCACCACAGGTTGAGAACCACTGGGTTATATAGAATAGAATAGAATAGAATAGAATAGAATAGAATAGAATAGAATAGAATAGAATAGAATAGAATAGAATCATTAAAAACTGGGAACCTGTTTCTAAACAAAACCTTATAAGTCTAAAACCCAAAGTGTCTCAATCACTGTTTTCATCAAAATCAGAAGGCTTCTTTGATTTTTGCTGGACATGATAGAAGGCGCCGGAATTCTGTACCTAGAAAATGAGAATTCTGGTTCATTCTGATCAAATGATCTCAGAAATGGAAAAATATAGAGTTTCCTTTATTGTGCATGCAACGTATTTTGCCACGAAAGGCATAAGGTCCAGGACTAAAAGAAAACTCCGACAGGAACAAAGTTATCTAACTTTTCCTTGGGCGTGAAAACCGTTTTTTACCATCATGAGGACTAGAAACGGAACATATTTTTTTTTTGACGTGAAAGATGACATTCTCGGGCGGCTTAATTTTCCCTGCGTCTAACACACAATCACTGACATTGTTGCAACCTTCAGTCCTGCAGGGCATTTAAATCCATCTCTCGTGCCCTCATTTTTTGAGAACTGCGCGTACTTCCCGTTGATTTTTGATTGCGAGAAGATGCAATTTTATCTCTCCATCAGAGGGGATCCTTACAACTAGGGGGCGATGTTGTTCTACTCAAGTTACGCCGGATGCCAGTTGTGCTTGTCCAGAATGCCCTCTTTGGAAAGTTCTAGCAGCCTCTTGCAAACCACAAGACAAGGTGAGGACGTCGGACAAGGTGGGAGAAGAAGCTAGGAAAATCAAGCGATACAATTCTGAACTGCTGCTGGATGTACACAAAGGACTGCACTGCCCCTCTCCACATTGTGAATCGACACAAGTGTTATAGCGAGGAGGTTCATTTCTGACGGAAGGTTTGATCATCCTTTTGGGGTACCTTGGTGCTCTATAAACCTGGTTGTTTTCTTGCAGACATTGAATGACCCAACTAGGCAACATCATCAGTACTAGAAGGGAGTGAGGTTGCTTCTAGCACTGATGATGTTATCTAGTTGGGTCATGAAACGTCTGCAAGAAAACCACCAGGCTCAGAGAGCACCAAGGAACCCCATGGTCACTGTCCTTGTCATCTTCGTCCTCTTCTTCCTCTCTACCCCCCTCCCAATCCCCCTATCCCTGGTGACGTTACCTAGTTGGGTCATGAAATGTGTGCAAGAAAACCATCAAGCTCAGAGCACCACGGACCCCACAGTTGTTGTCCTTGTCATCTTTGTCCTCCTCCTCCCTCTCTTTTTCACTACCTACCTAGCTAGCTAGCTATCCCCTTCCCTTCTATCCTTGGTGATGTTACCTAGTTGGGGTAATGAAAGATCTGCAAGAAAACCATCAAGCTCAGCGAGCACCACGGACCCCACAGCTCATCTTTGTCCTTCTTTTCCTCTTCCTCCCTCCCTAGCTACCGAGCTAACACCCTCCCTTCTATCCCTGGTGATGTTACTTGATTGGGATAATGAAACATCCTCCTCTGTATTCAATAAATAAATAAAGGAGAGAGAGAGAGAGGAGGAGAGAGAGGAGAGAAAGAGAGAAGGAGAGAGAAAGAAGGAGAGGAGAGAAAGAGGCGAGAGAGAAGAGAGGAGAAAGAAAGAGAGGAAGAGAGAGAGAGAGAATTTCAATGGAAAATTTGGAAGAAGATGGAATAACCTTAACCTGTAAAATAAATTGAATACTTCTTGGGTTCAATTGCCAAGATTAGCATGATATAAATTAGGCCAGTAGAAGTTATGCACATTATTAGCATTCTATGATTTCTGGTTAAGAGATAGATTGAGAGAAAGAGAGGAGATATATATATATACATACATATATACATATATATACAGAGAGAGAGAGAGAGAGAGAGAGAGAGAAGAGATTAAGAGACAGGAAAAAAAGGAGATTGAGAGAGAGAGATTGAGAGACAGAGAGAAAAAGAGAGGAGATTGAGAGAGAGAGAGAGATGGAGAGATAGATTCATTTAGTGACCGAAGGTACAACCGTTTTTCATGCGTACGACCATTGCAGCATCCCCATGGTCACACGATCACAATTCAACTGTATTTATGGCCGCTGATTTGTATTTATGACGGTCGCAGTGTCCCGGGGTCATGTGCTCACTTTTGGTGACCGTCAGTGGAGCAAAGTCAATGGGGAAGCCCGATTCACTTAACGGAACAGCTGCAGCGATCCACTTAAAACAACCGGCGGCCAGGAAAGTGTGGCAAAATGGGGGCAAAATGCCCACGTCTCGCTTAGCGACAGAAAGTTTGGGCTCCATCGTGGTCGTTAAGTCGAGGACTACCTGCAACGGCTCCAGCCTCGTCCTGAATTCTCCGTCGTGTGTAATAATCCCGCAGTTTAGCCTTTGGCCTGCATCGGGATGTCGAAAGCAGCTTCTTGGGAAAATTGTGCAACCTTTCCTGGGATTCTAAAGCCAGTGTACAAATAAGCACTCCCAAATTCCCTTTTTTGGGGGGAATTTTGGGGAATGTCCATCCTCGCCAGGCTTACAGGAGCATGGCTGACGAGAGCTGAAATCTTAACTTCCTCCATCCTTTGATGGCTGCAGGCAAAGTACAAGACTTCAGTGGATTTTTAGGGGTTTCTTTTGAAGGCACCCGCAGCAAACACTGCTTGCGTAAGACCAGAATGAGTTTTGAGAAACGGCTGAACTTATCCGTCTATCCTTCTGTCAAAATTCATCTCCTCCCCAGCCAACAGCAGCCAGGTGGATTTTTCCCACAGGCTGGCGATGTTTGTGAGGAGGG